AATTCAATTTGTCTTAGTGTTTTTAACAAAAAATTCTTCTATAAATCCATTATTTTTAATAAACAATTAAATATATATATATATATATTTAAAAAATTTTCTAATTAAATTCATTTAAAAATGAAATTTTACAAAATTTTAAATCAAAATCTTTTGAAAAGTTCATCTACTTATAAATATTGTAAACGCAATTCTTTTAAAATTGAATTAATTTTGAATTATTTAAGTGAAATTAGATTTCAAGAAAAAACACAATAACTTTAGGAAACAACAATTTTCCAGGATTTCAATAAAAAATTCCCTGACTTTTCCAGGTTTTTTCAAGGTTTATAAAATTCCCTGACATTTCCAGGTTTCCAGGTTGCGTAGCAACCCTTCTTAAATAAAAATTATTTGATTTCAGTAAATATTTATTTGATACTATAGACAAATAATCTGTTATTTTAATCAAATAATTTTTTTTAAATGCATGTTCATTATTTTTTATAATAAAATATTTTCAAATACTGTCAACCTTTATAATAATAATAAAAAAAAGAAAACGACGACGACGATGACCTATTACGTAGACAGAAAAGATTTATTTGATAATCTCTGACCATACATTTTGTTCCTGCAAAATATCTCAAAAAAAAACATTATAGACTAAAACCAAAAGGAAAGTTTTTGACTAAAAGCCGCAAGAAACGATTCATATATACGTTTATAATTTAAAATGCAGAGTATAACACTTTTTATGCTCCACTGGATTACGATCCTGTTTTTACTCTTTTTTGACATAATTGTCACATTATAAATTACTGGTTGTTGAAGTGAATGGCATCTAACCTCATCGTCGAAGAAGATATTGTGTAATATTGTTGGCAATACTTGTTGGTTAATATAAGTATATTGCAAAGAAAAACCACAAGTATAGGACAACACCATTGCAAAGCGATCACACAAAGTTTCATAAAAAATATGAAGAATAATGAAACCTTCTGAGAAATAAAACATTTTAAATTTTACTCTTCTATGGAAAATAAAGTCAGCGTCTAAACGTTAAATATAATAATATAGAGATTTCAATCAAGTCTGCAAATTGAAAATAGTCTCAAAAAGAATTCACAAATTCTCTAAATTTGAATTAGTGACTGATTTTTTTGCAATTGAATTAGTAAATTTTACTAATAAATAATAATTTCCACTAATTTATTCAATCACTTAATTTTTTTTTATTTAATTTATTAAATATTTAGTAAATTCTTCCACAATTAATTTATTATTTAATTTATTTTTTATTTAACAATTTAATTAGTAAATTTTACTATGATAATTTCAACTAATTTATTAGTAAAGTTTACTAATTAAAAAGTAAAAAGTCAGCCACTAATTCAAATTTAGAGTAAAACGAAAATCGATATAATAGTTATATGAAATATAATTATTGACTAATTATATGATAATAATTATAAAATAATAAATGTACGATAAGAATTATAAAATATAATAATTATACGATAACAATTTTACGATAATTATTATAAAATATAATAAAATTAGAGATTAGTATTCATACTGTATAATAATTATACGATAACAATTATGCGATAACAATTATACGATAACAATTATGCGATAATAATTATACAATAATTAATTATTTCGTATAAAATACATTGAAACTAATTAATAAGATTGTTATGCGGGTATTTCAGGCTATGCAGAATGTATCCAACCAGAATTAAAAAATCGATACCACGCGAAGTAATTTACGAATATGCATCCGCATATTTTAACATTTCGAAAAGTTCTTTTTTTCAAAATAACAATCTATGCTAATTATATTTCAAATGTAAACTATTCCATACTTGAATTTACGATATTATCAGTCGCAAATCGTTAATTACCATTTAAAACTCTCCATCTAAGATGTAACAATGAAAGGTTAGAATAAATATTCAGAATGATCATCACAACATTTCTCCATGCCCTGTTACATCTTTTTTCACTACATAAAACAGATCTCTATTGTTCGCCTCTTTCCCTAATTATCATTTAACGAATATAATAGATTCAATCTTATTAAAAAATTTATTCTATTAATAAAAGTGAAATACCCAGGCGAGAAAAGTCTATGCGAAAGATAATTTAATCATTATTTTTTCCATAGGAATTTATGATCCTAAAGTTCTGAACGTTCAAATGAACGAAATTTATTTATTTCTTCCTCAAATTCAATTTTTATGAAAATAATTTTGAGTTACTATCAAAAAAATTAATTTTTAAAGTTTTTAAATGTAGAATCTAAGTTTTAAATTTTAATTCGAATCAATAATTTATGAAAATATTTTTAATACAAAATATTTCGTTCATTTTAACGTTCAAAACTTGTGATTCATAGGAATTTAGATTTTCTAACATTTCTAATTCAAATCTTTTTGAAATTTGACAACTTTTATAATAATTAAAGATGACCGAGCGATAAAATCATTATTTTTTATATTATAAGAATATTGTTACTGCTGTAACTTATTCAAAATTATTTTCATCATTTCAATTCAATTATTATTTTCTACAACTTTTAACTAAAAATTCTTCTTTAATATTTCTAACAATTTTCGACAAAATTCTTTCAGAATTTTCAAATCCATTTTTTGTTTACAATTCAATTTTTTTAAGAAACTTCATCGATTATTCGGAAATTCTTCAAATGAATATTAGAAAATAAAAACTTGAAATAATTTTTAAAAAAAATTAAATTACATTTTTTTAAAATTAATTCTACACAATATAATTGTCAGTTAAAAGTATGGAAAATTCAGATTATCAACAAATTTTTAAATAATTGATTTCTTTCGAGCAATTTTAATAAAATTTTTAAGAATTATAATATTATTTGAAGAATTCAATTAAACGTGCATTAAAACTAATTGAAATCCTACGAAGAATTTTATAATTTACAAAACAAAATTGAATTCTTTCAACGAATTTTATTATAATTTTCTTAAATAATTGAATTTTTAGAATTTTTTTTTTTTTAAATAATTGAATTGTTTAGAATATTGATTACAGAAGATATTAAAAATAATTAAATTCCTGTATAAATAATTTTATTATTTAATGAAAATAATTGAATCTCCGTAAAAAATTTGTTTATTTATAAAAATGATGGAATTATCGAGAAGAAATTTATGAAAAATTTGTAAATAATTAAATTCCTGTAAAATTTTTATTATTAATAAAAATAATTAAATGTTTGCGTAGAATATTATTAAAATTTTTTTAAAATAATTGAAATTTTGCAAAGAATTTTATTAAAATTCTTTTGAAAATAATTGAATTTTGCAAAAGAATTTTATTATTTATAAAGATAATTGAAATTTTGACGCGATTTTTTTTTTAATTTTTTAACAAAATTTAATTTTTGCGAAAAATTTTATTACTTTTGAATACAAAAATAAATAATTTATAGAATAATAAAATGTTTCTAAAAATTTAATTCACATAAAGAATTTTACCAAGATATTTTTAAATAATTAAATTCTTTTTTGACGAATTATAATAAAATTTTTAAAAATAATAAAATTTTTCCAGGAATTCGATTAAAATTGTATTAAAAAGAAATGAATTTCTGTGGAAATTTTATTATTTTTGATATAGGTAGTAATTAAATGTTTAGATAGAATTTTACCAATATTTTTTTTACTAATTGGATTCTTTTGTTAAATTTTATTATTTATGAAAATAATTAAATATTTGCGTATAATTTTATCAAAATGTTTTTTAAATAACTGAAGTCTTTTGGAAAATTTGATTAAAATAGTAAATATTGAAAATCATTGCAGAAAAATTTAAGAAAATAATTGAAATTTTGCCAAGAATTTTGTTGAAATTTTTAAAAATAATTCCCTGAATTCCCTGACCTATGGCAACCCTGGTTATGAACTAATTTTTGAATATAAAAATAGATTTTTAATACGGAATTAATTTTTCTATAAAAAAATAAAAATTAAAAGGAGTAAAAAAAATATACCAAAAAGGTTAGAAATACAAATTTTATGGGGATTATAATTTTGAAAGATTTTAAATTGTCATAATTAAAAAATAATTTTATAACTTGTAATGTTAAAAAAAATTATAAGAATATAAATTCTTATATTTATATTATTAACTGAGTATTATATATTTATCTTCATCTTCCAGTCACGTGATCCACTTCGAAACACGTGTTTTAAAAATTTAAACTCGTTGACAGCCCGAAAGTATTATTAAGCGAAAGACATAAAATCTGAGTAACTTTTCTTAGATTGGAAAATTGTATTAATAAAATAAACTCAACTTAATTAACTGAGCTCCATAACTACAATTATCTAATCCAAAAATGTTTTCGTAAAATCGTATAAAAAAATTCGTCGTTTTTTTCTACTTTGGATATTTTTAAAATATTACAAAAAAACACGAACGTAATAAACAAAGCATATTAATTACTTAACGAAGTAATTAATTTTAATTAATTTTGACGAAATAATCATTTAAAAACAATTAAAAATACTTTTAGACTACACTGTCTTTAACACAAATGAGAGAAACCTGCACGTGACAATTAATCATTTTCACCCGAATGAATATTATCCTTTAAAAAAACATCGATATTATTTTTTTTATCATTAATTGTTGTTATGTGCATTTGTTCAAGTATTGTTTCAGAGCAAATGTTTGTTTTTCCTTTCAATGAACACGAACCATGATTCATTTTCTCATTTGTTTTGATTGATACATTCAAATGAATGAAATGAATAAAATGAATGAAATGTATCAAATCAAAGAAATAAAAAAAAGAGTAGAATAAAAAAGGGGAAAAAATATTAAAGGGGGAAAAGAGGGCAGATTGGTGCCGGCGTGTCTGACATGAAAAATAGAAACACAGTTATAGAAAAATATAGGTTAGAATTTGCTCTTGAACTTCCTTTGATACTTATTTTCATAGATAATTAAAAAAAAAAAAAAGAGAGACTCACCTCATGAACTTGCGGATGTCGATGATTACAGTGTCTATGTTCAAATATACAACACACCATATTCACAAAGCACACTATCACGAGAAATACGAAGGACAATGCTTTGCCGCATTTCATCTTCAAGCGGACTCTAGCCGCCATCACATTCACGTTTCTCCTACCACAGCATATTTACTGAACTGAACTGATTTTCGCTGATAAACCTAGTTTATATAGGAACAACGACATCTGATGGCGGGAATTTCTACTTATTGCCGGCAATTTCAAATTTGACATTTTATTATCCAATATTATACACACACAGACACACACTGTGGATTCTTTATGATTCATCCTGTAATAAAATCATTCCAATAAGTATAACTGTTATATTAGAAATTATATAAAATTTCAAAAATTTAATAGCCTTTGTTAATTGTGTAGTATAAATAGAATAGAATTCTTTAATAAAAACATATATATTTTTTTATCACAATAAATTCTAGAAAATATCTAACAAAACCATATTTTACTTTTAATCATATTTTGTAAATTCCATTCATACCGATTTTTTTTTATTACAAAACTTAATTATCAATTTAATGTTTATTTCATCCAAATACCTTTTGAATTAAATTCTCGATTTTCAATAATAAGGGTGGTCACAATTTTTAGTTTATCAATTTCCCTGACATTTTCCTGACAATTTACTGACATTAAAATTATTTTCCCTGACAAAATTCTTTTTACAAGAAAATATAAAAGTTTATTACGAAAAATAAGTAAAATTTATGTATTTTAATAATTTCTAAAAATTATAATTGTAACCCTACGTGAATTCAATTATTTTCTACAATTTTCAACTAAACTTCATTTCTAAATCGATTATTTTAAATCTTTTTTCGAAAGTTTTTCTAGAATTCAATTATTTTAAATCATTTTTTGATAGTTCATCTAGAATTCAATTATTTTTATATAAGTCAATTATTTAAAATCATTTTTCGAAAGTTCTTCTAGAATTAAATTATTTAAATACAAAAACTCAATTTTTTTATAATAATTGAAACTGTACGTGTTTTTTTTTCTTAAAAAATATTTTCGAAAAATTCTAATAACGAAATTCTTACAATTAATTTTTTGAAAAATATTTTTCAATAATTTTTGAAAGATAATAGATTTTTAAATAATATATACAATTGAAAAAATTCCAAACAATTGAAATTTGGTAAAATCATTTTAAAATAATTGAATTTTTGAAAAATATAAACAAAAATAATCAAATTTGTAAAGAATTTTAATTAAAAATATTTATAATTGTTTAATAAGTCTAAAAAAGTAAATTTTTATAAATTTTTATTTATTTTGATAAAAGAATTCTAAGAATTAGTTTTTAAAAATATTTTAATGTACCTAATTTTTTGAAAATAATTGAATTTTTTAAAAGAATTTTTGTATAATTTAAAAAAACTAATTAATTGTTTCGTGAATTTTAAGTAAAAATTTTTAACATGATTTTTTTCTCCAAAATGTTAAAAATAATTTCTAAAATATTATTGTTTGTGTGTATTTCAATTTTCGGAAATATGTAATTGAGAATATTGAATTTTAACAAAATTAGAAGCTAATTTTCATTAATTATTTCATTTTTAAATTTTTCATTTAAAGATTTTTTATTAACATTTTTGATAATTTAATTATTTTCAAAATTGGCAATTAAAATTCTTCAAAAGTTGATTTTTCCAAAATTGTAACAAAATACTTGAAAAAAAATTAATTATTTTCAATTAAATTTTAGAAAATTTCAATTATTCAAAAATATTTTTATTACAGATATATTTGAAAAATTTAATTATATCTTAAAAAATTGATTCAAAAATAATTTTTAAAAGATTTGTTTACAGTTATTTTTTGCTTTTTAAAAATCGATATAAGTTGCATTTTATACGAAAAAATGTGATATTTTTTAGCAATATTTGGAAGAAAAGTCGACAAATTCACAATTTTTTTTTTGAAAATAAGTCGAACAAAGTCTCAATCTTCTTAATTTCCCTGACAAAAAATTTTTTTTTGGTCATTTTTCTGACTTTACTGACAAAAATTTTGTTGTCCTGACATTTTCCTAACTTTCCTGACATGTGGCCACTCTGATTAATGTTTATTTCATTTAAATACCTTTTGAATCAAATACAATTTTTCAATAATAAAGTCTTTGTCTTTATATAAACGTTTTTCAATAATAAAGACGTCTTTGCCTTTATAAAAACGTTTTTCAATAATAAAATCGCCTTGGCCTTTATATAAACGTTTTTCTGTAACAAACACGTCTTTATCTTGACATAAACGTTTTTCAAGTGAAATATAATAATTAATTCATAGAAATTTTATTTACAGAGAAAGAAAAAATGTATTTGGATGAAATAAAATTTTCCTCTTTGATAATAATAAATTACTTCTCAAATTACCGTGCGTATTAAATGTAACATTGTTCAAATTCAAAAAATAAGTGCAAAATATTTAATAACCTTTAACGTTCATTTTCGTGTTTGCAATTTAAGCTTGACAGATACGTGCAAACCAACTTTTGCTCTCTTCGCAATTTGGATTTGTACAATGAGGACATCTCGTCAACAGTTTTGGACTAATTTTTCGATTGGATTTTAGATGCGAGGCAACAATGTCTGTCAGGGCGTTGATAAATATGGGATGATCGTTGGGTGCTGCCGCCCTTCTTATATTGATTCCCAACTGTAAATTTAATGGAAAAAAGAGCGCAATTAAAAATAGTAAATAGTTATAATTACTGATTAAATATAGAAAATAGTTATAATTACTAATTAAATATAGAAAATAGTTATAATTACTAATGAAATATAAAAAATAATTATAATTACTAATTAAAGTAAAGGTTTTTAGAGAATATGTAGTGATTAGAAAAATAGTTTTACCTTTTCGCCAATATCTTTACAGAACTCAATGTCCATTTCGTGGAGAGTTTCAATATGTTCGTTAACAAAGGCAATTGGTACCAGAATGAAATTCTTCTTCTTATGAACTTTAGTGTATAAATTAATAGCATCGTCCGTAAACGGTGCTAACCATTCCACTGGTCCTACTTTCGATTGCCATGTCAGGATAAACGGATTCGAAAAGTTTAATTCCTGCATTACTAATTGAACCGTGGCGCCGACTTCTGAAGGATATGGATCACCTCTCTGCACTGCCTGAATTTATAGAAAATTTATACTTATTTCAAGTTTCAGAAAATTGCTCAACGAATTGTAAAACGAGTCCCTGAAGTTAGCGTCGTCGCTGAGCGTCGAAAACCATTTTTTTTGCATAATTGAAACAGTATTTCAAAGGGCTTTGAACATTTTTTAACTCCCATGAATTAAAAAAAGTCAAATTAGTGACATTTTCATCTCCAAGAACTCCCAAATAATAGTTTTTGACACTAAGCGTCGACGCTAACTTCAGGACCATTAAAACTGTAAATAAAAGATTATGTAATTTTAATTTTAACCTTCAATGGAAGTGAGTGAGCAGAAAATACTATTGTCACATCTTTCTGTTCATCTTCAGAAAAATGTTTCATTTCATCTTTAATTCTTTCGGCGAAAACCTTGACTAACAAGGGATGCGTACTCCATCGATCAATAACACTTAACTTCATTCCATTTAATAAGTCTTCCCTGAAAAAAGGGTATTAAGTAAAATTTAATTCATTCAGTTACTAAAATTTTTTAATAACGTAATTTCTACAACTATACCTGTCTTTGTAATATTTGTAAATTGCCGTTAAACTAGAACCACTTGTCGCACAACTGTATTGAGGATATTGCGAGAAAATAACTGTCCTTTGAACACCGTCCCTGAAAAAATCTCTTATTATCAATAACTTCATTTTTAAATAAATATTTAATCGTTATTATTTTTTCCCAGGAATTATGATTTTCAAAAATTTCAGTTTAAACGGTTAATTCAATTATTATTTTCTAGAATTTTCAACTAAAATTCTTGTTTAAATCAATTAATTTTAATCATTTTTGAATTAATAAGTTCTTATTAATTATTATTCTTACTAATTACTAAGTTCTTTGAGAATTTTCAAATCTATTTATTTACAATTCAATTTTACGAAACCTTTTTAAAAAAATTAATTTTTAAATATTTTAATTTAAAGATGAAATAAACATACATTTCTATCTCCTGCAAAGCTACATCAGTCAATGGATCAGCGTATCGAAAGGCGACGTAATATTTATGAGGAGCCGTTTCTGGCGATACTTGGTCCAATTGTTCGCATAAAAGTTCGCCTTGCTTGTTTGTCCATTTTAAAATTGGAGAACAACCGCCAATTTCTTTGTACTTTTCCATAACTTCTGGTGTTCGTCTTTTAGCGATCATTGGAGCTAGGAAGCTGTAAATTTAAAAAAAAGACTTAATAACCTAAAAGCAATATGAGCTTGAGAAGAAAAATAATATTTCTCTAAAATTAATATATTATATTAATTTTCTTAGTTTATTTTATGAAAAATTTGCTATGAAAACTATTGTATGTTCAACCTTTGAAAAGGCATTTGCACCATATCACGATCAGTCATGATACGCAATAAATATTCGTGTACTTGTTCCAATTTACTCGGACCACCCATATTTAACATCAAAATTGCAGTCTTTGGCTTTTCTTTTTCATGATGTTTAGCTTGTGAAGCCAAGGCCATAGTCCTTAGAACGGATCCTAAGTAATTATTACTTTGATTCCCTGAAAGAAAATAATTTTGATAAATAACGATTTATATAAGTAATAAAATTTAACATAAATATTAAAAAACAAAATTATATTAAAATTATATTATTAGTATTATTAAATACTAAAAATTAAAGATTATTTTTACAAGAATATTTACAGAATATTTCTGAAAGAATTAATTTTCTGTTTGGAAATTTAAAATTAAATATAAAAAATTTTCGTTTTGAGGTTAGGAGCGTTTCGTAATTTTTTTTTTTTCATTTATTTTTGTTACTATTGAAATTAATACGAACAATATTCTTCGTTTTCGTGTATTACTTTTTAATAATTCTGAAAATAACGGAATATTCTATTTTTTAAGATGGGAATATTTGCAATTAAAAATCTAAACTATTAATTGTTTACTTATCAATTTGCTTACCTGCATTTAGGAGATTTCTCAAATTTGACACAATCATGATAAACAATTACTTTGTGTCCTTAAAATTATTTATTATTTAATTAAAAAACTATGAAACTATTTATTTCTCTATTATTTTTGATGACGTTTTGCGTTTTCCCACAAGTTTTCGTCTGATCATTCCTTCTTGAAATGTAACCTAAACGACCTAAACTGACAGGACTGACAGTCCTGATAATGTGAGTCAGAATAGTTTCATAATACGAAATCTACGAAATTGTTCTGAACAATGACAAGTAAAATGAGGAATGAAGAAAATTATGTTATAATGACTACTTTATTTTCACTAAGTTGCTTATTAATTAAAGTGTCTTAATTATCAGTTGAAAAAGTAAACATAACCAACTACTTGACTCACGTTGTACTTATTTGAGGTTAGGTTCGTGTTTCGTAAACAGGTGATTGACAACAACACAAATACACAATTGTCACGTGTAAGCTTTCGTGAATCATTACAATTATTATAAATTGAAACAATTTGTTGTTTACATTTTATAATTTATTTCAATATTTTCAATACACTGGAAAAACGAATATATTCGAAACATTCGAAGATATCGAATATGGAGAAAGAATTAGATCCTTCAGAGTTGGGTACTTTGGAATTGTGAGTATTTACTATTACTTAAATATTCTCAAAAGCAAAATTTACTTTACTCTTTTTGTGTCCTTACGAAGAAAGTATTTATTTATTTACAAGTAAAAATTGACGAAAAATCTCCATTACAGTTGGGAGAAGACTTATGCTTTAGAAATCGAAAATTTCAAGGATCATGGCGATTCGGGAGAAGTTTGGTTTGGAAATGCAAATGCTTCCAGAGTAGTAAAGTAACTAATTAACTATTTATTAATTAAAAACTGTATAGAAAACAAACTAACATTTATTCTCAATTTTCAGTTGTATAAATTCAAGGCTAGAAATGAAAAAAGACGAGAAAATAATTGATCTGGGTTGTGGTAATGGAATGCTTTTGGTTGATTTAGCTGAAAATGGTTTTGAAAATTTAGTCGGAGTTGATTATTCCCAGAAGGCAATAGATCTCGCAGATGCTGTTTTAAAAGACAATAAAATAAATTCTGTGAAACTACAAGTCTGTGACATTCTCGATGAGACGAATTCCTTACCAAATGATTTTAAACTTGCTCACGATAAAGGCACATATGATGCAATTAGCCTCAATCCTGAAAACCCGAAGGAAAATCGAATAAAGTATATTAAAAATATTCACAAAATTCTCTTGCCTGGAGGATATTTACTCTTAACTTCCTGCAACTGGACGAAGGACGAATTGATCGAACATTTTAGGGAAAGTGAGTAGAGAACATTTCTTTCAAGAAAACTAAATATTATTCAGAAAAAATGATACAATTATTTATACACAACTAATGAAGAAGAAGAATTTTTCAAATTTGCGAAAATTTTGAGAAACAAAATTTTATTTTTAATCTATTCAATTTTATATATACTACTACTAAATAATAATTTACAGAATTTAATTTCCTCTTCGAACTTCCTACAAAGACATTTTCATTTGGTGGACAAACTGGAAATACCGTAACGCAGTTGGTTTTTACAAAACAGTAAATTACGACATAAATAAGATTTCGATCGACATTAAAAAGTCCAGTTTCGACTATAATTTCAAAACTAGAAATTGACTTCTTTTCAAATATCAGTTAAACTTGTTAAGTAGTTGAAATCTAGAAAAACAGTTTAAAGGTAAGAAGATAACTAATAGAAATTAATTTGTCTATTTTTAACAATTATAAAATGTGTAGAATTCTCTCTAAATTTATAAATGAAAGCATACAAGTGCACTTGTGTGAATTTCGGAGAATACAAATATTACAAGACATTCTATTTTAGAAAGAAATACGAGTGAATTTTTTATTATTACTTCTAATAAAGTGTATATACTTCTATTAAATATATTTTAAATTCACATTTAATGAATCACAGTTAATTTAATTAAAAATAAAACGGACTTAGTAGTAATTCTAAAATTGATTCGTGATTTGCACACACAACTATTTTCTATTTGTTAACTTTAGTCAACATTTTCAATTTATTGACTTGACCAGCAGTCAAGAATCATCGAGTATTCCATAAATGATATATTTTATAAATATTCTATAAATAAAATTTCATAAAGCGAGTATTATTTGTTCTTTAAACTAGAAAATCTCATTTTTGTTACGGATAAAATCAAAATTGATTTTTGACGTTATTAATATTAAGAAATAATAATTAATTATATAGAATAATTTTATAATTATTCTATATTTAAATAATATTCTATATTAATAATAATTAAATTATCGAATTTTATTCAATTAATAATATTTTTTTTTATAAAATCTATATTACTTGTTCCATTTCGTATTAGAAGGCATTTTTGGTGTTATGAAATGCGATTAGATTTTCAAATATAGTATTAATATATATATAATAAAAATTCGCAGACGAAAAATTTTTAGAGTTATTTTTAAATAATGATGCCATAAATGATGAATGAAACAAGTCTTTTTCTTTTTTTAATGGTTCACTGTTTGGAATTTTTGAAATTACTGAAAACTAATGTTTCTTTTTTGTGATATAATTATTATCTAGAAACCTAATAAATTTTGTATTCGTTTTCTTAGATGTTGGATCTTCCGAATATAAGAAAGATGGTGAATAAAGTCAGTGTTGAAATTCCTAGACTAGGAGCTCCTGCAAAAATAAAGATTTTTTTAAGTGATTGTGAGAGGTGAATATTAATATTTTTTAATTTTGTAGATACTTTTATACAAATTTTATAATAACTAATTTTTATAATTAGTATTTAAATATTGTAAATAACAATTTTGTAAATTATATTTACAATTTTTAAAAATAGTTAAATACGTATTACGTACCATTGCACATTTTATTATCTTCGAAATATCCTTCTTTGCAATAACATCGTTTTCCTGGCAACGTATTGTTTCCTTGAATGCATTGGGCACCATCAGTGCATTCAGAATCATAATTACAAGGTGCTCCCACGGCTAAAATTTTTAAATATTTATTTATTATTATTTATATTCATATTTATTTATTATTCAGATTCAAAGGTGGGCACCGTTAACCTAAAAATTAACGTCGTTAATCGTTAATTCGTTAAGTGAAAAAGTTAACTTCGTTAATAGTTAATCCGTTTACGAACAAGAAAATTAACGGAAGTTAACGTTAACCGTTAAAGTTAACATAAATTTAAAAAAATTCGTAATTGCATTCTAATGTACAAAAAAACAAATGTTCTTTTTCATTAATTTTTATTTTTTTACATCAAATCTAAGAGACACATGTTTACTTTAATAAACAACTAAAGTTTCGACAAAATATTTTTATTATGATACCCTGCTAAAAATAAAATCAGGAATAATAAGAAAACGTCAGAAAATTTGATGTTTTGTGACTACTTTAACGTTTTCTGAAGCTTTTGGTTAATTCTGACTAAAGGGTTTTTTATGCTCCTGTTGAATCCTGATTATTATGGATTGTGATTATTTCTCATTGAATTCATCTTTTTTATTTTTAGCCCCCACCAAAATATAGTGGGTAAATGTAAAGTACCGTTAAAACTTCAAATTTGTGCGTATCCCTTTTTTCACAATAGAATCGTGGGTTTTTTGTTATGAGCTTCGGGGGTCTCCAACCTGATTTTTATTGCTCAAAAGTTTTGCAATTTTAACATTCAAGTGAAATCAATATAAATTCAGAATCTAAAAATCTCCACGATTACAAATATCTAAAATTTATTATAAAAACATTTTTTAAGGAAACTGTAACGTATCTCGAAAACCGTAATTGATAAATAAAAAAGAATATTATTTTTGAATTTAAGTTCTAAAGGATATTAAATGGGTTAGTGGAAAAAAGGACACCTCGAATTTTGGTTAAAAAAGAGAACACCTCGCTTTTTAGTTGAAGAAAAGGACACCTCGAAAATATTAATTTTAAATGCATTTTTGTTTGACGATAATATGTGTAATTTAATTGATTTATGAGATTCTGTGCTCAAAAAACTATGAAGATAATATGTTCTTGAATCTTCTATTACAAAAACTCAAAAAACAATTACATTACACATAGTATCGCCAAACGAGAATTGATATAAAATTAATATTTTCGAGGTGTCCTTTTCTTCAACTAAAATGCGAGGTGTCCTCTTTTTCAACCAAAATTCGAGGTGTCCTTTTTTTCCACTAACCCAGCGTATTGTATAAATAATAAGAACATAACGTTAGAATTCTAAGTCGATGAAAAACAAGTATAATGTTTAAATAAATATAAACGTAAACAAATAAAAAGATTTTCCTTCAATTTTATGACTGTCAGTTGACCTTTTTCCAGGTAAAAGAGGGTGTCGACTTTGTATAAAAAACCTGACTACTTTTGAATTTTTATGCTTAAACATATGACTTAAGTCTGATGTTCTGTGGCTGCAATCATAACAAAAGCAATTTAAAATCATCAGAGATTCTGACTAAATTTCTGTCGCTTTGTGACTTTATTTTTAGTAGGGTAATTAAAATTAAAAAAAAAAGAAATTTAACGGACCTTAGTTAACGAAAGAGAAATGTAACGGAAGTTAACAAGTCCGTTAACTGTTTTTAAAATTAACTTAAAAGTTAAATCGTTAACGAAAAAATTAACGAAGTTAATTAACGATTAACGGATTAACGCTTTTCTGCCCACCTTTGTTCAGATTATTATTATTATCACGATTCAATTACTTTCAAAAATTTTGAGAAAATTTTTCGCGTAAATTCAATTATTTTTCTACAAATAATGAAATTTGTCGCTGAAATTTAATTACATTCAATATCTACTATTTGAATAAAATTCCTCAATTATTTTAAATACAATTTTAATTAAATTATTCTAAATAATTCAATTTTCCCATAAAATTTTAATCAAATTCTTCCGAAGAAATGTCATTATTTTCAATTAATTTAATAAAAATTTTTGCAAGAACTTAATAGTTTTCACAAATAGTAGAATTCTTTGCAGAAATTCAATTATTTTCTATACAATTGTATCGAAAAAATTCAATTATTATTTTCAAAATTTTTCTCATGAAAAATAATTTAAAAAAAATTTTTTTTCAACAATTATAATAAAATTCTTTGCAGAAATTCAATTATTTTCAATACAATAATTGTAATAAAATTCTTCGAAAGAATTCAATTATTTAAAAAAATGTGAATAAAATTCTTATCAAGAATTCAATTATTTCCGAAAATTTTAATAAAATTCTACGCATGAATTCAATTATTTTCAAAAGTAATAAAATTTGTCACAGGATTTCAATTCCTTTACGAAAATTATTTATAAAATTAGTTGCAAGAATTCAATTATATTCATAAAAAAAATTCTTCGCAGAAAATCAATTATTTTCAATACAATTGTAATTAAATTCCTCGAAAGAATTCGATTATTTTCAAAATTTTTCTTAAAAACTGCTCCAAAAAAAAATTTAATTATTTCCGAAAATTTTAATATAATTCAACACATGAATTCAATTATTTTTAAATGTAATAAAATTTGTCACAGGAATTCAATTTTAAAAAATTGTTGATAAATATTCGTTGCAAGAATTCAATTTTCAAAATCAATAAAATTCTTCGCAGGATTTTAATTATTTTCAAAAAAAAAATTGTAATTAAATTCCTTGAAAAAAGTAAATTATTTTTAAAATTTTGAAGAGAATTTTTCACGAAAATTCAATTATTTTGACAAATGATTAAATTTTTCACAAGAATTAAATTATCTATTAATAAAAATTATCAAATTAGTTGCAAGAATTCAATTATCTTCTTTAATATATGTAGTAGAATCCTTGCAGAATTTCAATTATTTTTAAAAGAATTTTGAAATTAATTATTCAAAATATTATTTTTTTAAAATTTTAATAAAATTTTTCCAAAAAATTTAATTGTTTTCAAAAATTCAATTATTTTAAAAATTTTTCACAGAAATTCAATTAATTGAAAAAATTATAATAATAATATTTGTTACAAGAATTCAATTATTTTCATAAATGGAAAAATTCTTCGCAGGATTTCAATTATTTTTAATACAATTTTAAATAAATTATTCGAAAATTGTTATTATTCTTAAAAATTTTATTAAAATTCTTCGAAAAAAATCAATTATTTAAAAAAATTTTGATAAAATAAGAATTAATTTTAAGAATTATAATCAATTATTGAATCAATGCTTTATTTTTGTATTTAAATAATTGAATTCTCGTACATATTTCTAAGAACTAAATTGAAAATTAATTTCAATTAACATTTTAGATAATAATTGAATATTGGAAGCATATGAATTTTTAGAAATAATTAAATTTCCATAGATTTTCAAATTGAAATCTTGGAAAATTGTATTGTTGAAAAACAGCAATGATATTTAAATATTTATTTTTAAAATTTATTAATTTAATATTTTCTTTAAAAAATTTTAAACTTTTAAATAGTTTTATTTAAAAATTCCAAAAAAATAATTGAATTTTTAAAGAATTACAGTTGTAATTTTATTTTTTTACTTTTCAAAATTTGTTTTGAAATATAATTGTTTTTTTGAAGAATTCTAACTAAAAATTGGGAAAAAATGTGAGTTTTAGAAAAATTTAGAATTGAAATTATTTCCAGAATGAGAAAGAAGTGAACATTTTTTATTGAAATCAGGAAAAAGTCAGGGAAATACAGAAACAAATTTCTGTGATTTTTGTGAATCGACTCAAACGATTTTGTTAGTTGTTAAATTTAATTTTTAAATTGCTATTTTTTACTATTCACTTTTTGGTACTTTTTTTAAAATTAATTAACGAGTACGAAGCCTTGAACAATAATATAATAATATTCTTATTCTTATTCTTATTATTTTTATTTTTTTTAATAAAAAAATTTTGATTAATATTATTACAAATATTATTTGTTATTATTATTATTAAAAAATAGCAATTATTCAAAATACTGACAATATAATTTTTCTCCCCAAAAAAATTATTTTTTATGGGAAAGAAGATTCTATCAGTAATTGCTCTCCTTTCTGTTATTTCTCTCTAATAACTTTGTTTCTAAGCAACTAATCATTTTATTTAGTATAGAAATATTAAGTTTTTCTTTTTTTTCTAGAAAACAAATATCACTTCTATATTCTTTCTGTTTACTCGTAATCGCTCTAGCGCGTGATGAATTTTTATCATCTAGCTTTATTTGGAAAAAAAAAGTTTTTCAAATCTGATGAAATTTACATTTATTAACATTTTTTGAAAAGAGAAAACTTTTTTTGTTCTTTCTATCTTAATGGCTTATTATTCATTATCCAAATTAGTACATTATTATTTTCTTATTCATCAAATAATGATTTTATCATTACAAGAAAATTATTAAACAAAAAAAAATAAATAAATATAAAGTGTCTCGTTTACATTTTTAAGTAAATCAATATTTATTTGTTATAAATTCCCCGCAGTCCATCAATATATAAATAAAGTAATAAAAATTAATTTAATAAAATAATTAATAACTAATAATTAAGAAAATAAAGGTTTAATAACAAACTAATTATGTATAAATAAATAAATAAATAAAAAATAGTTTCAGATCAATAAATAATTTTCTATTTAATTTTATTACTATTTTTGAAGATTGTTGAAAATACTATTTTTATAAAAAGAATTATCCCGGCTATAAATAAATAAATAAATTATAATAAAAATTAATTAATTGAGAAAGAAAATAAAATTAATAGAAATAAATTTTAGAGAAAGGCGATGAAAAAATCTGGAGCATAATTACTTAGATTGAAAGACAATTCACGCCCCCTAATCATTTTGATTTGTGTCCGTGGCAAATCGTCAAAAGTAATTAAAGTAAATGTGACCATTATTATTGGCATAGATTTTGCATGGGATCGATATTGTGTAACTTTTGTTCTTAATTACTTCATGCCATGCAACCAATGATTCTTGTGTGTCTTATCAACCCCAGTGAAGTTTGTTAGGTACCTTTATATAGAACTAACACTTTATTTGATGATTACTGTAGGCGATTCACCTAAATTGCTTCACTAAAATTTACATATAAATTAAATTTTTTTCATATATACATTACACAATTTTTTGATACTAAATTTAATTTCTACAGATTGAAGGCTATTATTTTCAGAGAGAAATATTTTCTTATAATCTGATATTGTATATTTATTCAAATTGTAAATTATTCAAATCGAAACAAAAAGGGTGTTTGAAATTTTATTCTAAGAAACAATTCTTATTTGAAAAATTAAATCTATTTTTAATTTGAAAAATAAAATTTACTTTTTAAATGAAAGAGTAAAATTTGTTTCTTAATTTAAAAAGTGAAATTTATTTTTTAATTTGGAGAATAAAATTGATTTTTTAATTTAAAAAATAAAATTTATTTTACAATTTACAGAGTAAAATTGATTTTTTAATTTAATGAGTAAAACTAATTTTTTACTTTGAAGAATAAATTTTTTTTTCAATTTAAGGAATAAAATTAAATTAAGAGTGAAATTTATTTTTTAATTTGGAGAATAAAATTTGTTTTTCAATTTGAAGAATAAAATTAAATTATTAGTGAAATTCATTTTTTAATTTGAAAAATAAAATTGATTTTTTAATTTAAAGAATATAAAATTTGTATTTTATTTTGAAGAATAAAATTGATTTTTTAATTTGAAGAATAAAATTAAATTATTTGAGAAATTTATTTTTTAATTTGAATAATAAAATTAAATTATTAGTGAAATTTATTTTTTAATTTGAAGAATAAAATTAAATTATTTGAAAAATTTATTTTTTAATTTGAAGAATAAAATTGATTTTTTAATTTAAAAAATAAAATTTATGTTATAATTTAAAGAGTAAAATTGATTTTTTAATTCAGAGAGTAAAACTGATTTTTTAATTTGAAAAATAAATTTTTTTTTTCAATTTGAAGCATAAAATTTAATTTTTAAGTAGAAAAACAAAATTGATTTTTTTTATTATGAATAAGAATAAAATTTATTTTTTAATTTGAAACACAGATATTTTAATTCGGAGAATAAAATTGATTTTTTAATTTAAAAAATAAAATTTATTTTATAATTTAAAGAGTAAAATTGATTTTTTAATTTAGAGAGTAAAACTGATTTTATTATTTGAAGAATAAAATCTATTTTTCAAATGGAAGCATAAAATTCAATTTTTAAGTAGAAAAAAAATATTGTTTTTTTTTAATTTGAAGATTAAAATTTATTTTTTAATTTGAAAACCAACATTGTTTTTTTAATTTGAAGAATACAATTTGTCTTTCAGTTTGGAAAATAAAATTAATTTTTTAATTGAAACAGTAAAATTGATTTGTTAATTTAAAGAGTAAAAGTGATTTTTTAATTTGAAGAATAAAATTTGTTTCACTTTAGTTTGAAGAATAAAATTTATTTTTTAATTTAAAAAACAAAATTGATTTTTTATTTTAAAGAATAAAATTTGTTTTTTAATTAGAAGAATAAAGTACAGTTTTTAATTTGAAAAATTAAATTTATTTTCTATTTAAAGAATAAAATTTGTATTTTAGTTTGAAGAATAAAATTTATTTTTTAATTTGAAAAACAAAATTGATTTTTAATTTGAAGAATAAAATTTATTTTTTAATTTAAAAAACAAAATTGATTTTTTATTTTGCAGAATAAAATTTGTCTTTTAATTAGAAGAATAAAATTTATTTTTTAATTTAAAGAATAAAATTTATATTTTAGTTTGAAGAATAAAATTAATTTTTAACTTGAAAAACAACATTGATTTTTTAATTTGAAGAATTAAATTTGTCTCTTAAGTTGGAAAATAAATTTTTTTTTTAATTTAAACAATAAAATTTCTTTGTTAATTTAAAGATTAAAACAGATTTTTTAATTTGAAGAATAAAATTTGTTTTTACTTTAATTCGAAGAATAAATTTTATTTTTTAATTTACAAAACAAAATTGATTTTTTATTTTGAAGAATAAAATTTGTCTTTTAATTAGAAGAAGAAAATTCAGTTTTTAATTTGAAAAACTAAATTTTTTATTTAATTTAAACAGTAAAATTGATTTGTTAATTTAAAGAGTGAAACTGATTTTTTAATTTGAAGAATAAAATTTGTGTTACTTTAATTTGAAGGATGAAATCTGTCTTTTTATTAGAAGAATAAAATTCAGTTTTTAATTTGGAAAATTATTTTTTGTTTTTAATTTAAAGAATAAAATTTATATTTTAGTTTGAAGAATAAAATTTATTTTTTAATTTCAAAAACAAAATTGATTTTTCAATTTAAAAAATAAAATTTGTCTCAATTTTAATTTTGAAGAACAAAATTTCCATTTTAATTTAAAAAATAATTCATTGACATAAGAATTCTTTTCTCTCCACCGGAATCAATAAAACTGCTAGGAAAATTCAAATAAAATTTATAAAGTTCAAGAGTATTTTCATTTACGTACTTTGCAAAATAAATACACCAGTGAATGTAAATGATTCTATACACGCATGCCAGTATAAAAAAAAGAACGTGTTCTCATAAAGTAATAGAAAATGACACCTTTGCATTTTTAAAATTCATACTTTAGAGACTTAAAAGTTAAGAATCATTTTTTCTGACGCGGACAAATGAGTAACCTATATTCGTATCTTACAGCTTCTATCTGTAATTCTGCGGAAAAATATCTATAAAAAATCGAAGGAAATAATGTTTTCAAATTGGCACCTACTTTTTTTCTCTGTGTATGATTTTCACAAGAAATATACCATAAATTGATAATCTCTATAAACTTTTAGAAAAAGTTATTTTTCTACGATAATTCTCTTTCTCCGAGAAGAAAAAGTAGAATAATTTCGCAATAATTTTTACAAGTTTTTTCCTATATAATTTTCCATAGAGCACTAAAAATGTTATCAGTTATTGTAAATATGGTTTTAAAGAGAAAATTGTTCTATTTTTTAATTATTGACTATTTTTAAAAGGCTACATTACTCCAGAGTATGAGAAAATTTATGTAAAATGAAAAAGTATACGTTTTTGAGTTAAATATTAAGTGTAAAAAAATTTTTTCTTTACTCGGAAAAAAAACGTTTACTTGGAACAACGATAAATTTCTCTAGAATATCGAAAGTATTAATTGAAGTAAATAAAAATATCACTAATTTTTCTTTCTATTTAAGTATTTTTTTAAAATTATTCTACTGCAATGAAAAATAATGTAAATTAAAAATTTACTTAGCTAAAAATTATTTTTTTTTAGTATAAAATAATTTTTCTTTTAAAATGCAAATTAAAAACAAAAAAAATTGTCGTTCATTTAAACGTTCGAAACTTTAGAAACATAATAATTAATAAATATTTAAAATATTAAAACAAAAATATTGAAATCAATTTAAAATTGAATCAATTTGAAATTGAAATTAAATATTTAAAAAATAACTAAAATATTAAAATAAAAATTAAAAATATTAAAAAACAAATAATTCGCCTGCGACAAAAAATAGAAAATACAGCTAAAGATAGAAAAAATTATCGATATTTTTATTTTCATTGAATTGCATACTGATTTTAACTACTCTAAAGTTTCAGAGAGTCATAAAATAAATTCTATTTTTACATTCTTTGCGTATAAATGTTTTGATTTTGAAGAAGTGACCTTCAAAATATTTTTTTTTTACTTTCCTATACTAAGAAAATTTATTCCCAGGAGTAAATTTGGAATATCTGATTTTGATTAATGAGATTTCGAGAAAAATTCTTTCTCCTTTTTATTTTATTTATTTTTTTTTATTCTTTTTTTTTAAACTTGAAATGTCTTTAAGATTTGTGGCATTATTTTTACCTTGTACTTTATTTGTGCAAAACCCATTGTCAGGTGCATTATAATCTCCACAAAGACACCGCATGATATTGTCTTGAGGATGGGTCATGCAATATGTGTTTCGTATCCCCTCACAGTTGGCTTGCGTTTTGCACTCACGAGCTTTTCCAACTAAAATAAAAAAAATTATATTCATAATTGTTACCGATTACTAATAATTGTAGTAATTTATTGCGTTTGAATATAAATTTCGAATAGACAAATTTATTTACTTTTATTTAACTCAAATGAATTAATTTAATTTAATTTATTAATTATATTTGCGTTAAATAAAATTTCTCTCTGAGTGTGCAAACTTAGGTACATTTTTTAAATTTAATTAAAGTGAAAAAAAAATTTATTTGATTCAAAATAATCGGTGTGTGTCTATTATCAAATAATTTTTAATTGTAAATACAATTTATTTTGATTTAATTAAAAGTTGATTACTTGAACCAATAATTTCAGAATTTGAGGCAAATACAATTTACTTGACTAAAATAAAAATTATTTGATTGAAATAAATATTTATTTGATAATAGACAAGTAATCGATTATTTTGAACCAAATAAATTTTTTGTTTCAGTGATAAATTATTTTATATTAAAAATTAAATTAAAAAAATAAATTATCTACTTTTAATATTGTGCGATTTTACATTAATTTCTAAGGAAAAGCAATCAGTTTATAGAAATAATAATTTAACAAAAAAATTCTAATTGTTATAAATTATTATACAACTTTATTACAATTATTATTTATAATTAAAAATAATTATTATCTACAATAATTATTTGTTTTTATTTATTATTATTTATTTAAAATATTTTATTTAAATTTACAATTGTTATACAAAGATTTCAAACCTTTTTGAAAGTAGTCAAATTAAAAATCTTAAACAGCCTAATAATAAAGACACTTCAAGATAATTTTACGATTAAAAAAAGCTGTATTTTTACAGCTATTGAAAAAATAGCAATTTTTTTTTCTAATGTGATTCGTAGATGTAGGGAAAATTTTTAATTATTTTTAAAATTATGCGAACTTTTAAAAATTATTCTAAATGATCTATAATAGTGAATTTTACAAGCTGAAAAGGTTTATGTTCGTTATGATGGTTTGTAAATTTAATTACGAAAATTGATATAAATTTTATTCATGATAGAAAGTTGGATATAAATTTTTGTTTTCCAAAAAAAAGTTTCAAAAAAATATCTTCCTTCACACACTCAGAAAAAAGGTAATTTTTACTCAGACTTTTAATTTGTTTCAAATAAATTTTATTTGGTTCAAATAAAAATTGTTTCTGTGTCGAATAAAATTTTTAGTTAAAACAAATAAATAATTTAGTAGAGTCTGAGAAAAATATACTTTTATGTAACTCAAATATAATTTGGTTTAATTAAAAAAATATTTAATTTAATTGTTTAAATTAAAATTTTTTATTTGGTTTTTTTATTTGTATTTTTTTTACTTGGTTTTTTTTATTTGGTTTAAATAAAAATTTTCTCTGGGTGGGAAAGAAGAAATTGTAATAAAATTAATTTATTAGAGTAACAAAAAAATGCGAGATCGACAGATTTTGAATTTATTAAAAATTGGTTTAAAATAATAAAATTATAAAAATCTGTAAATATAAAAAAAATGTTTTTTTTACACATTTTCCAGAGTAGGTTGTTGTTTTTTCAGGGTTGCAACCCTGGTATTCAACAAAATATTAGTATGTGTGTCCTTGACACTCGGACGTAAGATTCTGTTTTAAGATATGCAGAATTCTTATTGCAACGTTGTATTTAGCTCTCGTGTATTATTTAACTCTATGGAAAAAACTTGGAGGAGGTAGCAATTAGTTAAATTTTCAAAATTACATTTTACCGTGCATATTTATTTGTAATTAACGAACAATAGAAACATTTTTTCCATTCTTTTTTTGTTTTCTATTTTTTGTTCTCTAAAATTATAATTTTACTAATACTGAAAAGAAATTTTTACAAAATAAATTTTTGCGCATATTAATCAACAATATCGTGTATTAAAGTAATTTTACAAGAAAAAATTTATAAACAGTTTTTTTTTTTTAATAATAGAGAAAATTTCTTTACATTCGGCAAACTATTGTTGTGATCAGGGATTGAACGAGAAATTTTTATCATTACTATGATGATTTGGCAGAATCTTTTGTTAATAATAAAATTTATTGATATAACGACCATGAACTTTTGCAGCAAGATCATTATCAAGCAATGTGCATTTAAACAAATATTCTGTTTATTGTACAATATGAAAGAAGAAATTATTTTGTTTAAATTATTAGTTAAACTTAAAAATTTATAATTTAAATTAAATTAAAAATTTAAATAATTTATTATTTACATTAAATTAAAAATTGAAATAATTTATTATTTACTTAATTATTGGAATTTTTCAAAAATTAAAAAAGTGCAATTATTTTGTATTAGTTTAGTGTTAAGTAGAATTTTGCAAATTTATGAAAATATTTTTATTTGCAAAACAATGAAAAAATAATGGCAAAGTAATGGCAAAATAATAGCAAAATAATTATCAAGATACTATAAGAAAAAAAATAAATAATAATAATAATGATACACCAAGAGAAAAGTTTTATTTAAACTAAAAATAATTTATTTGTGTTAAATAAAAATATATCTATTTTTCTCAGTCTACTGAATTATTTATTTGGGACGAATAAAATTTTTATTTGGTCCAAATAAAATTTATTTGAATCAAATAAAAAAGTTTAGTAAACTCTGCACCCAGAGAAATAATTTTTAACTTCAAAGAAATTAGTTTTTTAAACTTTTTTTCATTGAAAATAAATTTTTCTTTCAAATAAAAGAGAGTTTTTTGACTGAAAAAAATTTCTTTGGTTTAAACAAATTTTCTTTGACTGCAAGAAATTACTTTTTTAATAAAAGAAAGAATTTCTTCAAAACAAAACTTTTTCTTTTAAAATTGTTTTTGAATCAAAGAAAATTGATTTGAATCAAATAAATTTTCCTTGAATAAAAAAAAATAATTTGCAATGGAATAAATGTTTTTAGTTTGAAATAAATTTTATTTGGTAGGTACAAAAAAAATTATTTGGCTAAAAATTCTATTTGACAAGAATAAAATTCATAACAGGATTTTGCTTTATTTCTCATCAAAATAAAACAAATAAACTTTATTTGAACCAAAAAAAAAAAAATTCTGTTTAAAAGAAAGAAATGTTTTTTTAAATCCAAATAAAATTCTATTTAAATCAAATAAATTTTTTTTGAACCAAATAAAATTCTGTTTAAAAGAAATAATTTTTTTTAAGTCCAAATAAAATTCTATTTAAATCAAATAAATTTTATTATTTTATAATAAATATAATTTGGTAGGCTTTGAGACAAATACACTTTTATTTATCTCAAACAAATTATATTTGATTAAATTTAAATAAAATTTTTTCTCTCAGTGTTAATAGAGGCAAAATAATGATTCTTTAATTTAAAAAGAAAAATTTCTTTGAAACAAATAAATTGTTTTTGAATCGAAGAAAATTTATTTGATACAAGTAAATTTTCTTTGAATCGAAAACAATTTATTGTTTTATTTATTTACAATGTTTGAAATGCAAGAAAATTTCTTTGAAAGGAATAAATTCTTTTTGAATCAAGGAAAATTGGATTGAAATAAAAAAATTATTTTTAAATCAAGGAAAACTTGTTTTAAACAAATAATTTTTTTTTTGAATCGAAAAAAATAATTTTCAAATGATTTTTTTGTCAAGAAGAACTTTTTTCTAACTGTGAGGCAAATATTTAATTTTTCTAGTTGTACTTTTAATAATACTTTCAATTATATTTTTTGATTACAAGTTAACATTGTTAATAAATTAATAATTAATGATAAAAATGCAATAATAATAATTTTAATAATAATAATTGAATAAAATAATGAAATACCTACCGAAACTTGGCGGAGGCGTAGGATTTTGATTTTGAGGATTCGACTTTCCAAAAGTTGTGAGTGCCATGGACCAAACTGAAGAGAAGGCGCATAATAAAAGAGCAAGAGTGAATAATATACGAATCCTCATAAATTCCGTCATGATTAATATTAACTCGATATAACAATCGACTTTCCAAACCAATAAAACCAGATAATAAAAATATTTGTTATCTTTCAAAATCACTGTTATATTTAAAAAAAGAAGAACACGAAAAACAATTTTCTCTCCTTATTCACGGCATTAACTTTTATTTACCATTTCGAATTTTTTTTTTAGCGAAAAAGTGTAACTTTTTTTGTTTAAAAACTTTTTTTAAACTTTTCTAATTAAATTATTTCTTAATCTTAATTACAAAAATTAAATTATGTTTCGAAATAAAATCATATGAACCGCGCAAGATTTTCACGCGTTACTTCTTATACTTCAATACTAATTCACTCTCTTATAAAGACTGTGGGGAGTAAAAGCCTTGCAAAGACCTTTTAAGCCTTCGAACTACCCCCACTGTTGTTCCACCTTCAACCACCACAGGAATGAATACTATACCTTTTCTTTGAATCTGATTTCCACTTGTCATTTAAGTTTCAAAAAAAAGTTATTTTCACTTTGTAACCTAATTTATTTTCTCTTATCGCCTTATATTTAAGGGAATTCATTCAGATAAATAAAAAAAAAAAAATTTGTATAATCTAAAAATAAGGGGGAAAAAATAATTAAATTACAAAAATTTTCATGTTTAACAATACAGTTATTATGGAAATGAATGACCTTTGAACTTAATGTAACACTCGTATAATAGTGCGAAAAGAAATTTATATGCGCCAGTGTGCGACATATTCTGACAATATAGTTTAATGCCTGCTTGGAAAAATAATTCTGCGAAATTTATTTGATTGGAGTAAATTTTTATCCTGGTTCGGAATAAATTTTATTTGGTTTAAGAAAATTTTTTGTTGGTTCAAGTAAATATTTTTTTGGTTCAAGTAAATTTTGTCTGATTCAGAAAAAAATATTATTTTGTTCAAGTAAATTTTTTTTGGTTCAAAATAAATTATATTTGGTTCGAGTAAATTTTTTGTTGGTTCAAGTAAATATTTTTTGGTTCAAGTAAATTTTATCTGATTCAGGAAAAAATGTTAATTCGTTGAAATAAATTATTTTTGATTCAAAATAAATTTTATTTGATTCAGAATAAATTTTATTTGGTGTAAATAAATTTTATCTGGTTCAAATAAAAACTTTATTTGATTCAAAAGAATTTTATTTCGTTCAAAAAAACTTTATTTGATTCAAAGAAATTTTATTTGATTTGATTCAAAGATATTTTATTTAATTCAATTAAAATTTTTATTTGTTTTAAGGAAAATTTTTATTTAAATTTATTAATTAGTTATTTAAATAACAAATAATAAATTTAGTAAACTCTGTGATAAATACATATATATTTGACTAAAATTAGTTTTAATTAAACTGGGTGTAATTAGCAATTATTTAATTGTAACATTTTTCTTAATTTCTAAAAAATTTTCTTCTTTTTTTGAAAATATTTTTAAAAATACACATTGCAAAAAAAAATAATAATATTAATAATAAAAAAAGTTAATCAATTCTACAATAAAATTTATTTTTTTAAATCTGAACAATTCAGTGAAACATGGAATTAAACTTTAAAATAAACGAAAAGCATAGAAATAAATTTTTAAATAAAGAAAAAATAAATTTTATTTTATTCAGATAAAAATTCTATTCATGCTTAAAAAATTTTATTAGTTATTTAAATAACAATATTAATTACTTATTTACATAAAAAATAAATAATTTAGTGCACCCAGAGAAAAGTTTTATTTAAACTAAATATAATTTATTTGAGTTAAATAAAAATGTATTTGTCTCAGAAGCTACTAAAATTATTTATTTGTTTTAAATATAAATCTCATTCGGTAAAAATAAAATTTTTATTTGAAGTAAATAAAATTTTATGTGAAGTAAATACAATTTTATTTGAAGCAAATAAAATTTTATTTGATTCAAATAAATATTTCTCTGAGTGTAATTAACAATTAGTTAATTCTAACATTTTTTTTAATTTGTCCATTCTAACAAATTTTCTCCTTATTTTTTTAAAAAATATCTTTAAAATGGCGCAATGCAAAAAAATTATTATAAATTCGTTTTTTTAATTTTGCAAATTTACTTTTCAAATCTGAACAATTCAATCTTGCTCGGAAAAAATAGAGTCCAAATTAAAGATAATTAGAAAAAAATAAAAAAAATTCTACTTTACAAAAATTATCTTTATAGAAACTATAATAATAATCTCGTTTTACCTCTTACAGTTATTTTTTCTTTTTGCAAGTAAGTTATTATTAGTTTTCGTTAACATTTAATAAAAGGCCCATTTTATGAAAGCGTTGCAGATAAAAGTATTTTTATAATAAATTTTCACTTTTCGTGAAGTACGAACATATTTCTTTTTTTTTTTTTGCTTCGAAAGATTCTTTAAATGATATATTCGTCGAAAATTTAATCATAATGAAAATAAATTTACTTTTTCAAGCTACTGATATACCTATAACGATATAAAGAAAAGTTATTTTTTTCACGAATTCAAATAAACGTTCATTTAAAATTTAAATCGTATACATATTTTATTTTCATTTTATTTCTACTAATTTTGTTGAAAATACAATATTATTAGCTGAAAATATTTTCACTTTATAATAAAAGAGAAATTAATCAAATTTAATAGCTGTTAAAAATAGATAGAATAAAGTATATAATTATATAGAGCAAAATTAATGAGAAATAAATATTAAATACAAATATTGAAGGAAAAATTTTTTTATTTTACTCAGAGAAAAATTTTATTCAAACCAAATATAATTTATCTGAGTTAAATAAAAGTACATTTGTCTCAGAATCTACTAAAATTTGTTTATTCATTATTTATTTATTTGTTTTAACTAAAAATTCTTTTCGTTACAAAAAAAATTCTTATTTGAACCAAAAAAAATTTTACTTGAACCAACAAAAAATTATTTTTAAACCAAATAAAATTTAATTTGAACTAAATAAATTTTTTTAAAACAAATATAAAATTTACAAATAAAAGTTCATTTGAACCAAATGAAATTTTATTTAAACCAAATCAATTTTTCTTTGAACCAAATCAAATTTTCTTTGAACCAAAAAAATTTTTTTTTTGAATCAAATAAAATTTATTTGAAACAATTAAACAATATTGACTTGGCAAATAAATTTTATTTGTGTCGAAAAACACTTTTATTTAAAACAAATAAAATTTATTTGGTTAAATTAAAATTTATTTGGATTAAATAGAATTTTATTTGGTTCAAAAAATTTAATTGTTTTAAATAAAATTCTATTGAGTTCAAATAAAATTTATTTTTTAAACAGAATTTTATTTGGTTCAAATAAAAATTTTTTTTTGAACAAAATAAAATTTATTTGAAACAATTAAACAATTGACTTGACTCTGAGTAAAATATATTATTTTTCTAGATGCCAAGAACAATAGTATTTTCTATTCATAATTTTTTATTTAATTATCAATAAAATATTATTTTTTGTGAATATAATTTTAAGAAAACTATTTTAAGAAAAATATTAAGAGTTTTATAATTATGTGAAATTTGTTTCAACATGTAAAAAATATAATTATTGAATTAAAGGAGAATTTTTCTAGAGCAAAAAGAAGAATGATTTGTTCTCTTTTATGTTAACATGAAAGCAATCAGAAATTTATTGCGCTGTTTCTGTGTGTATAATTTTATGAGCAGATGTTCACGAATACACTTATCTATAGGCACGCTAATATTATTTATTATTCTCGATACTATATTTGAGATATTCTATTTTCAACAATTTGTTAAACACTTATTCTTTTGTCAAGCACAATTTATTTATTCTTCTATAATAATAATAATAATAATAATAATATTATACAATTTCTTAAAAAAATATTCAGAAAATTTATTTTTTCATACATAAATAATTTTCTATTACTGCGACTGTAAATTTTAACTTCAAATTGAGAAAATAATTTTTTTTTACTTCTTTATGAAATTTTTTTTTCTAAATTTTTAAAAAAACGAAATTTTTTCTTTTCACACAGGAAAAAAAATATTTATTTGATTTAAATAAACGATTTCTGATTTATTAGCAAATAAATATTTATTTATATCAAATGATTTTTATTTAATCTAATTAAATAATAACTACAAAATCTACTAAATTATTATTTTGTTTAAAATAAAAATTTTATTTAGTACAAATAAAGTTTTTATATAGATCAAATAAAATTGATTTGAAACAATTAAAATTTATTGGAACCAAATAAAATTTAATTCGAACCAAATAAAATATACAACTATTTACTTTATAATAGACAATTGTTTAATTGAATAAAGTAATTTTTTTTTAAATATAGTTGTTAGAGAAATATAAGGAAAATTTTAAAGTTTAGGCTTAATGAAAAATATAATTTATATATTAGAAATGACACAAGTAATAATTATCATTTAACGCATTAAAATTGTTATCAAATATAAATTCTAGAATAAATCGTAAAGAAATTAACATAAAGTTCAAGGTCCATGCGGAGAATTGCAATTAAAGCTTCAATTAGTCATTGTGCATGTTTATTTAATTAATCGTTAATGAATTTTACAATGTCTTTAATGAGATTAAAGAAATTTTGAATTTCAAATTTCAAAAAAATCACGCATTTCAAACACACTTTCTTGTGCGCACAATAATTATTATTGTAAATTGAACGAACGTAATCCTATAAAGTTCTAAACGTTCAAATGAACAAAATTTATTTCTCCTCTAAATTTATTTTAATTATTTATTTTTTAAATTATTATTTTATTATATAACTTTTATTACATAATTCATTATATTATTTAAAATTTTTAATAAAAAACTACTTAAAATTTGTCCTCTACTATAAAAAAAATTATTTACAGTAATTCTAAAAGAATTAAAATTCTAAAAGAAAAATTAAATTTTTTTTCCAATTAGTAATTATCACAAAAAATTTTTAAGGAAAAATATTTCGTTCATTTGAACCTATCAAAATTTGTCGATTACGAACGAACAACATAAAAGTTTATGTCCATAGTATATAATTATATTATACACACAGAAAAAAAATATATTTTACTCACAGCCAACTAGATTTTTTATTTGTTTCAAATAAAATTTATTTGGTTCAAATAAAATTTATTTGTTTTAAACATAATTTTTTTGGTTCAAATAAAAATTTTATTTCTGCCAAATAGAATTTTTAACAAAGAAATTTTTTTGCACTAGATAAATATAATTTCAAACAAAAAATATTTAATTCTTTCAAATAAAATTTATTTGTTTTAAATAAAATTTTTTTGGTTCGAATAAAATTAATTTGGCTTTAAACAGAATTTTGTTTGGTTAAAATAAAATTTATTTCAAACAAAAAAACATTTCTTTGGTCCAAATAAAATTTATTCGTTTTGAACAGAATTTTATTTGATTCAAATAAACAATTTAATTCCTGTAAATTTTTTGCGACATAATTTTTTTAAATCAAATGAAATTTATTTGTTTAAAACAAAATTTATTTCGTTTAAGCCGAATTTTCTTTGTTTCAAATACAAATTTTATTTCTGGCAGTATTTAACCAAATAATTTATTTTGAACCAAATGAAATTGATTTCAAACAAATAAAATTTATTTTGGCTTTTATTTTTTTTTGAGTCAAATAAAAATTTTATTTATGAGGAATAGAATTTTTAACCAAATAATTTTTTTTTGACAAATAAAATTGATTTCAGACAAAAGAGATTTATTTGGTTCAAATAAAATTCAGTTGAACCAAAAACATTTTTTTTTGGTTTAATTAATATTTTTTTAGTTGAAATAAAATTTATTTGGTTTAAAAAAAATAAATTTGGCTCAAAAAAAATTTTTATTTCTCTCTAATAGAATTTTCAACCACATAATTTTTTTGAACCAAATAAAAAGTTTACTAAGCTTTGAGTAAAATATATCTTTTTTCTTGGTGCAGAAAGAAATAATAATTTATAATAATAGTAATATTAATTATAATAATAATAACAATAAAAATAATAATAAAATCAAAAGTAATAGTAATTTATTATTATTGTAGTTATATTTTATTGTAAAAATAAAAATTAAAAAAAATAATTATTATTAATGTCCCTAAAGTGGTGAACGTTCCAATGAACATTCTTTTTGTTATTTTTTTTAGGTTTGCATTTTGAAACAAAATATTAATTTTCACATTCAAATAATTACTAAATAATTAGTCAATAATTGTTAATTTTTTTTTATTTCTCATTAAAATACAATAATATTAGAAAATATCGAAAGGAAAGAAAATTTTTAATTTCTCGTTCATTAGAACGTTCAAAACTTTAAAGAAATTATTACAAACTTATATTTTATTCTAAAAATAAAAAAAAAGAAAATAAGAATAGAAATAACAACAAATAAAATATATTGAATTAAAATATTTTACTTTTTTTTATCGAAGATCCCCAGATAGAGAGCATGCAATTAGTTGAAGGATTATTACACTACTAAAATATGAGACCTGAAATATAGGAAAATTTATTTTAATTATTTTTGTAATTTTTTTTTCTAATCATACATATATTCTTCAGAATCAAAATTTGAAGTTTCGTCATACTCATGATTAAATGGTTTCATATTTAGTGCCTCCAATATATTCTGAAATGATGATGGAACTTCTTCTTGTTTTTCCTCTTCAAAGGTATTGGGCGATAAAATTCTTCCAAAATCATCAGTTTCAGTGTTCAAATTTTTTTCATTGTAGGGATTAAAGAAATCGGATACAATATCTGGATTCATGAATGTACTCCAAAAATTATCGAAACCATCCATATTGTTATTTGGAATATTTTGATTTGATAATTCCTCGTTTTCGATGTCATTAAGAATTGGAATTATTGGATTGTGATTGATTTGAAGTGGATCAATAATATTTCCCTCGGTTTGATTATTTTTTTCATTGGGATTCTTGGCTTTGAAGAGAATACGAATGTGGAATGAATCATTCTTGGGATCATCGGAAATTGCTGGGGAATTTTCATTTTCTTGAGGATCGACAATTTCCTTGTTGAATGGCAGGGAAAAACGGAAGGAAAATATTTTCTTGAATATCGGCTCATTTGGGGAACTTATTTCTTGGTTTGAACTTTTCTCTTCGGATTTTGGATTATTTTCTCCATTTGGCAGTTCGTTGTTCTGACTGAGTTCATTTTGGAAAATTTTTTCTTTTTCTTCCTCCTTGTAGGAATTTAGTAAATTTTTGATATTCAAAAGTTCGTCGGTTTTCGAATTTGGATTTTCATTGTCGATGGTTTTGTCATTGTTTAAATTTTCTCCGGTTAGTTTCAAAGTTGGTAGGAAACTTGCAGAATTTAATTCGGTTTCGATTTTTTCACTTTTGGCTGCATCGTAATATTCGGATTTGTAAAGCAACAGAACAGCTGATCCGACTAACAAAATTATTTCCACAGCGAGAATAACTTTTAAAATTTTCATAACAATTCGACATTTATTTGGCTTTGGAACACGTTCCAAATTTTCGTCCACCTTCCCCTCCTCGGAGAGGACCATCTTGTCTGTAAAAATTGATGACAAATTTTTTGTTAATAGAGAAATAATTTTTTTGATTTAATATTTTCACTCCAAGTATTCAAATTTAATTAATTTTATTTAATTTTATTTTATTCAAATTTATTGTTACAAATTAAATTTTTTTTTTTTGCTACAAAAGAAATTTGTTTTTCCTACAAAAAAAAAATCCGTTTTTGTTAGAGAAAAATAAAGTTTCGCTACAAAAAAAATTATTGTTACAAATAAAATTTGTTTTTGCTACAAATAAAATTTGTTTTTCCAAAAAAAAAATTTGATTTTGATACAAATAAAATTGGCTTTTCCTATAAAAAAAATTACTTTTGGTAACGAAAAAATTTAGTTCAGTTACAACAAAATTTATTGTTAGAAATAAAATTTTTATTTCCTACAAAAAAAATTTTTTTTGTTACAAAAAAATTTATTGTTACAAATAAAAATTGTTTTTGCCACAAATAACATTTATTATTTTTCCTACAAAAACAATTTGTTTTTGCTACAATTAAAATTTGTTTTCCCGATAAAAAAATAGTTGTTGTTACAAAACATTTTATTGTTACAAACAAAAATTGTTTTTCCTACAAAAAATAAATTATGTTTGCTAGAAAAAAATTTATTGTTACAAATAAAATTTGTCTTTGCTACAAAAAAGAATTTATTTTTTCAACAAATAAAATTTCATTTTGCTACAAATAAAATTTATTTTCTCTACAAAAAGAATTTGTTTTTGTTACGAAAAAATTTATTTTTGTTACGAAAAAAATGCAGTTTTGCTCCAAAGAAAAATTATTGTTACAAATAAAATTTATTTTCCCTACAAAAATAATTTGTTTTTGTTACAAAAAAATCTCTTTTTGTTAAAAAAAATTTAGTTTCGCTACAAAAAAAATTATAGCTACAAATAAAATTTGTTTTTGCCACAAGAAAAATTTTGTTTTTGCTACGAAGAAAATTTGTTTTTGCTACAAATAAAATTTGTTTTCGCTACAAAAAGATTTTGTTTTCGCTACAAAAAAATTTCTTCTTCAACAAAAAAAATTTTCCTTCCTTATAAAAATAAATCTAGCAGAAATTATTTTTAAATTTTTGCATAAATTCAGTAAAATACTCACCCTTATGATTCGTCCACAAATACTTCATTATTGACAACACTTTTATTTGTAAATTGACGTTTAGAGAAACTAGAGGGAAATGAATAGTAATGTTCGACGAACGGGATTTCTAACACATATATGTATATATTACGACTTTAAGAAGTATCTCCATAGGTTATCAATCTTAGGTCATTTATTGCTCTTAACTACCAACAGTTGTGTTTTTCGTGCATTTAACAATAATAATGTTATGTACATACAAAATTCTAATTTTTTCAGTTGACTTTCAACTAATAATTCTATTCTATATCAATTTTTATCAATTTTTTCCCCACTTTTCTTCGTTTTTTATTTGTCACGAATGGAAACATATTTTTTGGGAAAATAAAACTTTAATGATTGCTTAGCCTTGAGATGGAATATAGAATATGATAAAAAAAAAATTTTGTAAATACTTTAATATATGCAGGCTTTTATAGAATATAAATTATATCTGCTTTTTGCGCAGTGTAAACTTCTTTTCGAACGTAGATATTTTTCTTAGAAACTATTTTTAAATTGTTAGAAAAGAATATTATTTACTATTAAAATTTTTGATTAAATTTTTCTATGTATGTTTGTCTATGTATGAGTCACTATTTCGTAAAAATTGACAAATATTATTATTTGAGTTAATAAAGGAGTTATTGGGTTTATATTATATAAAAGAATTTTTTTCTAATTTTTTTTATTCCAATTTTAATTCTATTTTGTATTTTAATTTATATTCTATATTTTATTCAAATTTTTTATTTTATTTTTCATTTTATTTTGTATTCTACTTTTTATTGTATTTTTTTATTTTTTTTCTATTTTTAATTCTTTTCTTTTTATTCTATTTTTTTTTATTTTTTTTTTTGTTTTATTTTTTTACTCACGTTCCTAAAGTTTTTAACGTTCAAATGAACTAAAGTATTTTTTTTTCTTCCTTCAATTTGTATTTTTTGTTAAAAAAATATTTATATTTGTAAAAAGAATTATTTACCGAATAATTAAATGATTAATTTTAATTATTTTTCCCTTTTGTGTAGTAATTAAAAAAAAAAAATATTTAAACAGAAAAATAATTTCGTTCAATTGAACGTTCGAAGTTTCAGAAAAATTTGTATTATTTTTTTTCATTCTATTTTTTAATCTTTTTTAAAATTATATTTTTTATTCAAAATTCTGTCTTTAATTTTTATGTCTCTGAAATTTTTAACGTTTAAATAAAAGTCAATATTTTAGTTACTTTTTTAATTCGTATTTTATCGCAAAAAATATTATTTCGAATATTAAAAAAAATTAATTCTAAGGAAATAAATTTTGAATTTACCCTCTTTTTCAATTCCCTACAATTATTTTTTAAAATATTTAAACGGAAGAAAAAATTTCATTCGAACGTTAAAAATTTTCATGAAATCTGAATATTATTTATTTATCCTAACTTTCTAATAGTAAAAATAGAAGTTTGTTTATTATTTATTATTATTTTTATTGTTTACTTCATTTTTTGTTATATTACTTATTTTTTATTATAATTATTTTTTTTTATTTTTTTGTTATATATTGTTTTTTAATTTTTGTTTATTAATTTTCGAAGAAAACTGAAAAGTCATAAAACTTGTATATTTGGATGATATTTTATAAATAATTGAAAAAAATACTGAGAATTTCTTAATTCAATCAATTTATCGATAAGAGCACAGGTGTTCGATTTTATCCATTGATTGCGATTGTAGTAGATAAATTATTAAATGTCGATCAGACATAATCTTATACAGTAACGTTTTCTTATTCGAGATGATACGTTATAATAAAATTTTTCTCTTTAGTGTATTTTTTGTAAAAATTATTCTAAACAACGGTAAGTTATATAAATTTAAGTCTGACTTAAATGGCGTTTTACTACTTACACTAAAGTTACACAAAGTACAAGAAATAACATTTTCTAAAAATTAATGATAAATAGTTAATAAATAATATTTAAAATTTAATAATTATATGTAAGTTCGAATTTTCTGAAATCTGAATAATAAAATATTTTCCCTTTTTTTGAATTTTTAAAAAAGTATAGTTAGAAAATTGTCTTTTTTTCTAAGTTTGAAATTTTTTTAGTTATGTTGAAGAAAAAAAATTTCTACTTTTTGTAAAATGGAAAATTTTTATTTTTTTTTGAAAATTGAAAATCATAATATATTATTTTCTCAGTTTTTAAACTTGGAAATTTTTTTATACAAAGTAAGAAATATAAAACTTTTACTATACTTTTGCAAAGTGAAACCCAAACTGTTTGGAACTGCTGTCAACTTTTACTACCTCGAGAATAAATTTTACTAAGTTGAAAATGTATTTTACTAATTTTTACTCAAATTTATTTCGGAATTCGGATATTATAAAATTTACTCTGAAAATAACGATTTTTAATAACAAAATAATATTTCATAATTATAATATTTTATTAATAAAATTAGGTAATTAATAAAATTACATTTTATTTCTTTTTATTTATGTTTTTATTTTTTTATTCATTACTTTCTTATTACTTTTTTAAAAATTAATTTTTTTATTTATTATTATTTTTTCACTTATTATTATTATTTTTAATATTTATTATTTTTTTATATTTATTGTTTTACATTTATGACACATATTATTCTTATTTTTACATTTATTTCACTTGCTCCGAAAGTTAAATTTAGAACACAGTGGAAATTAATATAGTTTTTGACCTGAAACCAAAAGCATAAGGGGTGCAATATAAAATCTTGAGGAGTAGTATATATTGAAGCTTTCGTGAGGAAATAACAATATCGATTCCTATGCCCTCGGGCAGGTCTGGAAACAAGATTCGTATCGAATTGTACAGCGAAATTGTTCTTAAAATGTGCTTTCACGCTTTTTCTCCTCCACGAACCAGCGATCACAGTCATAGATCATCAACCGCAAAACATAAATATATACCTATGTCGACCCTTTTGTACCAGTTTTTTCGACGAGACACGCAAGCTGTCTTTCGCGTGAAACCTATTTTAGAAAAAAAAATAAAAAATCTTTAATCTTCTTTGGCCCTTTTTTATTAGTTTGAAAAAAGAAAATGGAAAGTAGCCGCGCGCGGGAAAATCAATATTAACTAAAAGTTGAAATAAATATTTCATTTTAAAATATTCTCTCTCGCACTCACACCCACGTGAATTTTGGAAAAGGTCGATCCTTATCGTAGATTGAGATATGAGGAATAAGGATTTAGAGGAAGAAATCAATTTAGATTTTTGTTTATAGAATAAACTGAAATAATAATTTATTTAAATGGGTGATTTTTCAAAAAGTGATACTTTTGAACTTTGGACTTTTAATTTATTTTTTTTAATTATATGGTTTTTTCTATTGAAACTACTTTATTTTATATTCAAGAGTAAAAAATTAATTTGCGTAAAATTAATTGTTAAAAATTATAGTAAAAAAAACAATTATTATCAAAAATTTGAATAAAATTTTTAAAAATAATTCAATTAATTTAAAGCAATTTTAAGAAAATTTCTCGCATAAATTCAATTATTTTCAAGAATAATAAAATTCTTCGCTAAAATTCAATTATTTTCAATATCTACAATTTTAATAAAATTTCTCAAACAATTCAATTATTTTTAAAAAAAATTTAAATAAAATTCTTCGCAAAAAGTCAATTATTTTCACAAATATTAAAATTTTTTACGGGAATTCAATTATTTAAAAAAAATTATAATACAATTTAGTGCAAAAATTTAAGTATTTTTATAAATAACAAAATATTTTACAAACTTTCAATTGTTTTAATTACATTTTTAATTGAGATCTTCGAAATAAATGTTATTATTCTTAAAAAATTTTTTTAATTTCTGGAAAGAAATCAATTACCAAAAATTTTAATTTAAAATTCTTAGAAACGATTCAATTAATTTCAAACATTTTAAGAAAATTCAATTATTTTCACTAATAATAAAATTCTTCGCTAAAATTCAATTATTTTCAATATCTACTAATTTGATAAAATTTCTCAAAAAATTCAATTATTTTCAAAAATTTGAATAAAATTCTTCGCCAGAATAAAAATATTTTCACAAATAACAATTTTTTTAAAGGAATTCAATTATTTACAAAAAATTATAATAAAATTCGTTTGAACAATTCAATTATTTTTCTAAGTTATAAAATTCTTCGTAGGATTTCAATTATGTAGTTTTAAACTTTTAATAAATTTTTAATTAAATTCTTCGAAATAAATGTTATTATTCTTCGAAAATTTTTTTAATTTTTCGAAAGAAATCAATTATTCTAAAAAATTTTAATAAAATTCTTACAAACGATTCACTTATAATTTTAAACATTTTATGAAAATTTCTCGCATAAATTTAATTATTTTCACGAATAATAAAATTCTTCGCTGAAATTCAATTATTTTCAATATCTACAATTTTAATAAATTTTCTCCAAACAATTCAATTATTTTTAAAAAATTGTAATTAAATTCTTCGCAAGAATTCAATGTCCTTCAATATCTACTAATTTAATAAAATTTTTGAAAACAATTCAATTATTTTCAAAAATTTGAATAAAATTCTTCGCCAGAATAAAAATATTTTCACAAATAACTATTTTTTGACAGGAATTCAATTATTTACAAAAAATTATAATAAAACTCTAAGAAAAAAATTATTTTCAAAAATTTTAATAAAATTCCTTGCTGTTCTTGGTAAATTAGTAGATATTAAAAAGAATTTGAATAAATTTCTTTTCAAGAATTAAAATATTTTCACAAATAACAACATTTTTCACAGGAATTCATTTATTTAAAAAAAAAATTATAATAAAATTCGATTCAAGACTTCAATTATTTTTCTAAATTGTAAAATTCTTCGTATAGGATTTAAATTAGTTCTAATACACTTCTAATTGAATTCTTCGAAAAATGTTATTATTCTGGAAAATTTTATTAAAATTCCTCGAAATAATTCAATTATTTTCAAAAATTTTAGTAAAATTTCTGGCTAAAATTCCATTCCTTTTGGTATATTCAGTTATTTAGAATAATTACAATTCGTTGCAAGAATTCAATTATTTTCCTAAATTTAAAAATTCTTAGCAAGATTTAAATCATTTTTACTAAACTTTAAAATTTATTTCTCGAAAAATGTTATTATGCTTAAAAATTCTATATAAAATTCTTCGAAGAAAATCAATTATTTTCCAAAGTTTTGTAAAAATTCTTTATGAAAATTCAATTTTAAAAAATACTCAATTATTCAAAAAAATATTTTTTTTCTCTGGTTGTAATATTGGATTATTTATTTATTAATTTCAGGTTTCGAAATTAGTTGGAGATGTAAATCTAACGCTGAATGTACGGCTGCTAATAGTGAATGCATTAACGATATTTGCATTTGTAAGCCAGCTCATACTTATAATGCGAATATGACCAAGTGTCTCAAAGGTATTTTTTTTATTATTAACAGTTTTCTTAAAAGTATATATATCAAATTAATAATAAAGTGAATTAAATTGATGACAAAAAATTTTAGACTTCTAGTTGTAATTTTACACTTTTAAGTAAATAGTGATTATAATAATTATAATAATAATAATAATAATAATTATTATTATTATTATTATTATTATTATTATTATTATTTGTATTATTATTGTTTGTTGTTATTATGATTATTATTGTTTTTATTATTATTGTTTGTTATTATTATTATTATTATTATTATTTTTTTATTTTGATTTTTCTTAAAGGAAGCCTTTTTATTATTATTATTTTTATTATTATGGTTTGTTATTTTATTATTATTGGAAACAAGAAGATATTAACAATAATAAACTTATTAAAAAGAAGTGGAAAAAGTTCTTTACAGCGAGTTTTAGAGTTGAAAAAAAAGTTTTCTAAAAATGTACCTATTTTTTTTTTTTCTTAACTAAAAAGGAAATATATTTTAGTTGCCAGCTTTTATGAACAAAAATGTGAAGATACGGTTCAATGTTCCGCATATTTGTGGAACGGTGGAACTTGTGAATTTCAATTGGACATTTTTAACGAAACAAATTCAAAAAGTATTTGTGTTTGTGGAGAAGGATATCATTACCTACATGGAAGGTGTTACCGTTCTTCAGGTGTGCAATTTGCTTTATTTAAATGCAAAAAAAGAAAATATATTTACTAACGAAACTAGAATTTTTGGTAAAAATTATCATTATACAGTTTAGAATTGGTTTTATTAATTTATTAATTTATTATAATTAATTTTAAAAGGTTTGGGCGAGAAGTGTTCAACGAATGATGATTGTTACGTGAACTCGGATTTCGAGGCCTCTTCATGTAAAAATGGAATTTGTAATTGTAGCGATGGTTTTTATAAAAGAGAATATCGAACCTGTCGTCGAGAATCAAACGGTGTTTAATTATTTTAATTAATTATTTTTTATTCACTCCAGAGAAAAATTTTATTTAAACCAAATATATAATTTATTTGAGTTAAGGGCATTTGACGTCACAGTTTGTGCACAAATTTTGACGTCATAATGGTTCAAATGCCCTTGAGACAAAAAACGAATCATAAGTGTTGCTTGTGATATATTTTCAAAAACGTAAAATTTTATTTTTATAATAGATTTTATATTCTAGAAAATACGATGATTATTGTATAGTAATGAATAGAAAAATATTTCAGAAATTGGACAAAGTTGTCTGATAGATAAAGACTGCAAATTAAACAACACAAAGTGTAGCAGTGATTTCAAATGTGTTTCCACTAAACTGAGAACTTCTTTCCCTACGCACTTTAATAGAGTTGACATTAAAAATGATGTTCATAATGAAACCAATTCGGAAAACAAATGCAAAACAGATAAAAATTGTAAAAATAAAAATACAATCTGTGGTCCAGATTTAACATGCATTTGTAAACGAGCTTTTTTCTCTCTCAATGGACAATGCATTCCAGGTAAACGATAGAAGTAATCTTTAAAATAAAGATAAAGCATAGAAATAAATTTAAAAAAAAGAAATGAAGTTGGTTTGTTATTAAATTTTTGAAATTAAATAAAAATATGTTGTGGAATTTTAAAAAACCGTATAAACTTACAAAAAGGAAATAAAAAATTTATTACCCACATTAAATTTATTTAAATTATTATTGTTTTAAATTTATTTTATAAAAATAATACAGTGTAACAATTTTTGGTTAAATTATAGAATTAGGAGAACCTTGCCTAGAAACAGATGCGAAAAACATTGATGATTCAGTCTGTCGAGATGGAAAGTGGACATGCAAGGTTGATAAGATTGCTTCTAAAAATAATAGATTTTGCAGAAATGGTACGCATAGTACATTATAATAAATAAATAATTAATTATTTTGCAGTTAGGCTTAAAAAATGAAAAATTTCATAATGTTATTAATTTTTTCCAAAAGTTACGCTAGAATTTAGAAAACCTTGTAATTATAACGAAGAATGCTACATTTTTGGACCTGATGCTGTATGCAAAAAATTAAAATGCAATTGCAATGATGATTCACATTTTATTCAAGATGAACTATTCTGTTGGAGAAATAAGGGAATTGGAGACAATTGCTCCAGCGATAATGATTGCCATATTCCAGAATCAAAATTTCAGCTCCATTGTGAAAGTAAAAATAAAGATAAATCAAATCCTGTTTGTCGTTGTCCTAAAGGTTCAGCGCCAAATGAAGAAAATACAGATTGTACCAAAATTCCAACTGGTGAGTAAAAAAATATGCAATTCCAAAAAGGAATTCATAATTCACAGTAAAAATTAATTCATAAGAAAAATGTACCTGCAAATGTTCCAATTACTGCGAATATTTAAAAAATTGTTCTTGTTTTCGAGATTCTGTCTCCTTGAAAACATTTGAAAAAATTATTTTAATCCTTCCTGATGTCTATAAAAATGATCATTTAAATAATTATTCATTTAGTTCAGGCCTCGTCCTCCTATTTTCCAAATTTTTATTTGAGTTCTTCAAAAAAAAAAAAAAACAATTACATTAAAAAATAATTTTGAAAAGTAAAAAAAATAAAATTCTTTAAAATATAAAATTTATATCAATTAAATTTGACGAAATTTCCAAATAATTGGAAATTTAATTAATTTTTTTTCTATTTTTTACGAGAATTCAACAATTTTCAAAACATTTTAAATACTTTTTTTCAAAAGACAAATTTTTTTTATAAATTACAATCAAGACTTAAATAATTTTTTTTAAATAAATATTAAAATAATTATTTATTTTAATTTTTTTGAACAATTTTAATGTAAAGGCTTTTTGAAATTAAACTATTCGTAAAAAAATAAAAATGTAATTCTTTCAAAATTCAATTATTTTTTTATTAAATTTTTAAACAAAATTATTTAAAATATTTAATAAGTTTTTAGGAAAATGTTAAATTAATAAATTTCTGAAAAGAATATTTAAATATTATTAGAGTTTTACAAAGAATTCAAATTGTCAAAGATTTCAATTTCAAAATCTTTTGAAATTTAATTATTTATAAAAATTCATAATACAACGCTTCTAACATTCAATTATTATCTTAAAATTTAATTAAAAGTTATTTTTAAATCAATTCTTCTTAGTAAGTACTGCGATAATTCAATTATTTAAATATATAATTAAATAATTTATTAAATTATTGAATATTTCTGAAAATAATTGAATTCTTTCGAAAAATTTTAATAAAATTTTTTTAAATAATTGCATTTTTTGGACAATTTATTTAAAATTGAATTAATTTTAATTAAAATTCTGCGATAATTTTTATTACTTTTATAAAATTATGTAATAAAATTCTTAAAAATTTTATAAAATTTTTTAAATAATTGATTTTGTTCGAAAAATTATATGAAAATTGTATATTTTGAAATAATTGAATATTTATGAAAATTTTATTATTTATGAAAATAATTGAATTCTCGCGAAAAATTAAAAAAAATTCTTTTAAAATATTAATTTTGTTGGAAAAAAATTAATAAAAATCATATTAGAAAAATTTTAATTCCTGTAAGAATTTTATTATTTATGAAAATAATTAAATTTCCGAGAAGAATTTAATTGTTTATGAGAATAATTGAAATCTTATAATTTTTTTTTTGAAGAATTTAATTAAAATTTCATAGAAACTAATTCAATTCTTATAGAATTTTTTAATAGAATTGAATTCTTTCAAGAAACTTTATTAAAATTGCATTGGAAATAATTAAATTCCTAGGAAGAATTTTATTGTTATTAAAATAAGTGAATTTTTCAAATTTTGTTGATGAATTTAATTGAAATTTTATTGAAAGTAATTCAATTCTTATATAGAATTTTAGTAAAATTTTTGAATATAATTGAATTCTTTTAAGAATTTTTATTAAAGTTGCATTAAAAATAAATGATTTTTCGCGAAAAATTTTATAAAATTCTTTTAAATAATTAATTTGGTTCGAAAAATTTTATGAAAATTGGATTTTGAATAATTGAACTTTTGTGAAAATTTTATTATTTATTTTAAATCATTGAATTCCTGTGAAAATTTAATTATTTATGAAAATAATTGAATTTCTGCGAAGTATTTTATTGAAATTTTATTCAAAATAATTGAATTTCTGCAAAGTATTTTATTGAAATTTTATTCAAAATAATTGACTTTATTTAAAGTATTTTATTATTTATGAAGATAATTGAATTATTAAAAGGTTTTTTCGACGAATTTAATTAAAATTTAATTGAAAATAATCCAATTCTTATATAGAATTGTAGAAAAATTTTTTAATAGAATTGAATTCTTTTACGAAATTTTATTAAAATTGATTTGAAAATAATTGAATTTCAGCGAAGAAATAAAAAAATTCTTTTAAATAATTGATTTTGTTCGAAAACTTTTATTATTTATGAAAATAATTTATTTTTTTCAAAGAATTTTAATAAAGTTATTCAGAATAATAACATTTTTTCAGAAATTAATTTAAAATTGTATTAAAAATAATTGATATCCTGCGAAGAATTTTATTATTCATAAAAATAATTTAATTCTTGCAACCAATCGTTATAATAATAATTGTCATATTTTCTATTTAAAAACGTGTCTTTGGTGGAATTGCGCAGTAATTGATTCATGTACACTAATTCGTAATAAAAGTGAATTCTTAAAAATAGAAAAAAAATAAAAATTAAAAAAAACAAAACCTTAAAAAATATCTTTTTTTAATAATAATATCTTTTTTAATAATAATATGTTTTTTAAAAAAATATATTTTTTAATAATAATATCTCTTTTAAAAAAATTAGGAATTGATGCAAGTTGCACAGAAGCGAAAGATTGCAACGTGAAGAATGGCAGCTGCATTTCAAATATTTGTAGTTGCGTCAAAAATTTTATTCCCCTATCTACTAATGAATGTATCGAAGGTTCGTTCCATTAATTAACCTTATTCAAATTATATTCATTTTTTTTTCAAAACTATTATACGAGAATATTTTGTAAATTAGAGGTCTTTTCATTTTCAAGTTTCTTCATACGGAAATAAATGTGATCACCATATTCAGTGCAATGCAACATTAACAAATGGCATTTGCTCACGAAAGAGCGATACAGTTGAAGGAGAAATTTCAACTTCTGGCATTTGTTCATGTGACCATACTGACCATTATAACAATGGTAACTGTTTTAAAAAGAAATGTGAGTGTCTAATTTACAGTAAAATAGAAAATTATGTAAAACTTGTCACATTATAGTTTTTTTTCCTCTTTTTTTTCACTTTTCTTTTTCTCTTTCAAAGTTATTTAAAAAGTATAATTTGAATTTTAAATTTTCAAACTTGTATTTCATTGCATGATACAAATTATTATATATAATTTGTAATTACATTTTTTTTCAGTTGTATTTGTAGAATTTTAATAACACTAATTATTTTACGATTTGCCTTCTGTTTTTAGTACTGGGTGACTCTTGTGAAAATGAAAGTGAATGTTTTTTGGAAAAAGATATTAATCGAATTAAATGTACAAACGGAATTTGCTCCTGTGGACGGAAATATAAAGAATCGGAGAAAAAATATTGCAAGGAAATTAATGTAAAAGGTATAATTATTTTTTTGTTAATATAATTGTTGAAAAAAAAAAATGTTTCTTATAAGAATGTTCAAACGTTAAAATTTATTATTACTAGATAAATATCAGGTGGGTATTCGCTTTTTATTATTCATAAAGAAAAATTCTTCACGAAATTTATATCGATTTGTGCAAAAAAATGTTGAAACAAATATCGCAAATATTTTGTAAAGTTTTAAAAGAAATTTTCCTAAAGTTTTCAAATATTTATGTGAACGAAATATTTTTTTTATTGAAAATATTGATAATAATAATATTAATAAAATAATAATAAGAATAATTTTAGTAATTATTCTAGAAATTTTTGATAAAATTCTTAGAAACGATTCAGAAATTTTTCGAAATTAAATTATTTTCAATATCTATCATTTTAATAAAATTTTTCAAAAGAGTTCAATTATTTAAAAGAATTATAATAAAATTCTATGCAAATATTCAATTATTTTCGTAAATAATAAAATTTTCATAGGAATTCAATTATTTAAAATACAATTTTTATTAAAGTTTTTCTAGAAAAATCAATTATTTAAAAGACTTTTTGTACTACTTTTTGCAGAAATTCAATTATTTTTAAGGCAGTTTTAATAAAATTTCCCAAAAGAATTCACCTATTTTTAAAAATTTTATTAAAACTTTTATATAAAAATTGAATTATTTTCAACATAATTTTTATTAAATTCGTCGAAAAAATTTGTAAGAATCATTCTTATAATTAATTAAATTCTTCGCGAGAATTCAATTATTTTCAAAGCAATTTTAATAAAATTTCTTGAAAAAATGCAATTCAATTTAAAATTTTTACTAAAATTCTATGTATTAAAATTCAATTTAAATTCAATTATTTTCATAAATAATAAAATTTTTACAAAAGTTCAATTATTCAAAATCCAATTTTCATAAAATTTTTCAAACCAAATTAATTATTTAAAATAATTTTTGGAAATTTTTGCGAAAATTCAATTATTTTTAATGCAATTTTAATAAAATTTCTTGTAAGAATTCAATTCTATTCAAAAATTTTACTACAATTCTATATAAGAATTGAATTATTTTCAATAAAATTTCAATTAAATTCATCCATAAAATTTGTTGAAAATTCAAAAATTATTCTCATGACTAATAAAATTCTTCACGGGAATTCAATTATTATCAATGCGATTTTAATTAAATTTAAAAAAAAATTCAATTCCATTCAAAAATTTCAATAAAACTTTTATATAAGAATTGAATTATTTCCATAAAATTTTAATTAAATTCGTGAAAAAAATTTTGTAAGAATTCAATTATTCCACTGAACAATAAAATTCTTTGCGGGAATTTAATTATTTTCATAAATAATAAAATTTTCATAAGAATTGAATTATTTCAAATACAATTTTCATAAAATTTTTCAAATAAAATTAATAATTTCAAAAATTTTATAAAATTTTTTGTCAAGAATTTTTGTTATTTTTATAAAAATAATAAAAAATTGAGCAGAATTTTAATTATTTTTAATACAATTTTAAATAAAATCACCGAAAAATGCAATTATTTTAAAAAAATTTATTAAAATTCCTCGAAAGAATTTAATTGTTTCATGAAATTTTGATAGAATTTTTAATAATCCTTAATAAGAATTTAATTTCAAGAAATATTCAATAATAGAATAAATTATTTATTTTTATATTTAAATAATTGAATTCTCGTAAAACTTTCTAAGAAGAATTAAATTTAAAAATAAATTTTAATTAAAATTTTAGATAAACATTCAATGTTAGAAGCGTTATATTACAAATTTTTAGAAACAATTAAATTTCAAAAGACTTTTAAATTGGAATTTTTGAAAATTCTAATTTTTGTAAATCTGTAATAATATTTAAATTTTTATTTTCAAATAAAATTATTAATTTTTCTTAAAAAATGACTAAAGCTTTGAATAATTTTAAAATTGAAAATTTCAACTCAAAAAAATTATTGAATTTTTGGAGGAATTACAGTTGTAATTTTTAGAAATTGTAAATTTTTAAAAATATTTTACACGCTAATCATTTAAAATATATTTTAATTCCTGTGGATAAAATAATGAGTATTTCAATATTTATTTAACAAAAATGATTCAAGTCTTGATTGTAATTTAATTTCGAATTTATATGAAAACAATTTGTCTTTTGAAAAATTGTCATTAAAATATTTTGAAGATAGTTGAATGCCCGTCAATAATTAAAAAAAATATTAAATTATATTTCCAATTATTTGGAAATTTTATTTATCAAATTTAATTGAAACAATATTTATAGTTTTGTGTTTTGAGTTTTTGTGTCTAATTTTAAAAATTATTTTTAAATAGGTATAATTTTATTTTCGAAAAATATTTTAATAAACTTCTATATATAATAATTAAATTATATTCAACAAAATTTTATTTAAAATTGAAAAAATTTGTAAGAATTCAATTATTCTCAAAAAATAATTTGGATGAAAATTGAAAATTAGAAAAAAATTAGAATCAAATTTTTGTGATTTTTTTCCAATTCGTCTAAAACGAGTATTTTTTTGTCGTGAAATTTAATTTTTAAAAAGCTACGATTTACAGTTTTTTAGATCATAAAAGCTACTTTTTTAAAATTAATTATCGAGCGCGAAGTTTGTTTAGATAATTTTTGATATTGAACTTTTGGTATCAATTTATATTTGATATACAGTGAAAAACTTGGCGTGACTTTTCATCGTTCATACCTGCATTCTAAGTAAATGCAACCGTGACAAAGAGTGACTTTGATAATCTTAAGATCTGAGCTTCGTTGAACTTAGCGTGATTTCGAAATATCCATTCTTATGAGAGCATTATTTAATGACTATATTATTCATGTTATCACGTTAACAATACCTTTACAGGTGGTTCAGCTGTGTTCTACTTAACGATTTGGATTGGATTGATAGCAACTGTCTGCAATTTACTAATCTTTTGAATTAGTAATTTACAAATTAACTTCGATAAAGGAGAGAAACGTTAAAGGTAAAAAATGTTAGCTTTAAGCTCTTATATTTTTTTCAATGCCATATTCGAATATTTTTATTTTTTTTTGACTGCACCCACAGAACAATAGTTTTACCTAGAACAACGAAAGTCTCAACAAGAAATTTCGTTAACATAGTGAAAATTGTAACTGATTCCAAGTGGAACTATTTTTTCCTGGGCAATAATATTTTTTCTATGATGATAATTAATTTATATTAAATTTTAATTAATTTTTTAAATTAGTTGATTTATGTATTTAAATTATTATTATTTAATTATTTTTCCAATTATTTGGAAATTTTGTCAAAATTTAATTGAAACAAATTATATATTTTAAAGAATTTTCGTGTCTACTTTTAAAAATTATTTTTAAATATAATTTTATTTTCGAAAAATATTTAAATAAATTTCTATATAATAATTTAATTATATTATAAATATAGTTAATTTAAATAATTAACTAATTTAAATTATAGTTTATTTCGCAACGTAGTTATAGGAATAGAAAAGAAAAAATTTCCTTTGCAAGATAGAAAAATAAATGATGCTTCATAAATATACAATTAATGACGTAGAAATGAAATGAAAAGAAAATGCAATGAAAAGGCAGTCAATCTTTATTGAAGACAAATTGATCGGACAGCAAACTAGGTTATTTCAAAGTCATTGCATTAATACTGATTCGATTTTTATACTCCACCCCTTTTGAATTACACGATTCTCATTCTTATTGCGGAAATACTAATGAACTTAGCAATCAATTTCTTTACAATTATGGTCCCATCTCTTTCTTTACGATTCGAAAAAAAGCTTTTAACTTTGAATATAATAACGCCATTATTTACACAAGGTGCAAATTTAATTCATCACTCTCTTTTTACTTGCATGTTAAATTCTTTACTTCTGTATATATTCAGCAATGTCTTAAATTAAAAATAACGAAACTTAATTTAAGTCAAAAGTTCAAATTTATTTTTTTTTTTTTACATTTGTGACACGTACTAAAAACAACTTTTTTCTTTTTATTGAGAGTTTACAATACTTTCAATCAACTGCTCGTGAAAAGAAACATTATTCTGAAAAATTTTAATAAAATTCTTAGAAACGATTCAATTATTTTCAAAAATTTTTCAATATCTATTATTTTAATAAAATTTCCCAAAAAAGTTCAATTATTTATATTAGAAAAATTATAATAAAATTCTACGCAAATATTGAATTAGTTTTACAAATAATAAAATTTCTACATGAATTCAATGATTTAAAATATAATTTTCATTAAATTTTTTCTAGTAAATTATTTTTATTATAATAAAAATTATTTAAAAGAATTTTTTAAAATATTTTTCGCGGGAATTCAATTACCTACTTTCAATATAATTTTAATAAAACTTTTGGAAAGAATTCAGTTATTTTTAAAAAATTAATTAAAATTTTATATAAGAATTGAATTATTTTCAATAAAATTTCAATTAAATTCGTCAAAAAAACTTTTTACGAATTCAATTATTCTCAAAAATAATAAAATTTTTCGAACAAAATCAATTATTTATAAGATCTTTTTTCTAATTCTTCACAGGAAATCAATTATTTTCAATGCAATTTTAATAAAATTTTTTGAAAGAATTCAATTCTATTACAAAATTTTACTACAATTCTATATAAAAATTGAATTATTTTCAATAACATTGTAATTAAATTTTTTTATAAAATTGGTTAAGAATTCAATTATTCTCATAAACCATAAAATTCTTCACGGGATTTAATTATTCTCATAAACCATAAAATTTTCACAAGAATTGTTTTATTTCAAATACAATTTTCATAAAATTTTTCAAACAAAATTAATTATTTTTTAAAAATTTTATAAAATTTGTTGTCAAAAATATTATTATTTTTATAACAATAGTAAAAATTATCACATTATTTCAATTATTTTTAATACAATTTTAAATGAATTCCCGGAAAAATACTATTATTTTTAAAAATTTTATTAAAAATCTTGGAAAGAATTCAATTATTTTCAGAAAATTTGATAAAATCCTTTATAAGAATTTTACTTTAAGAGTTAGTTCTAAAAAATTTTTAAAGTTTTGAATAATTTTATTATTTCCAGGATAAGAGAAAAAGAATATTTTTTATGAAAATCAGGGAAAATTCAAAGAAATACAGAATAATATAAAATTAAAAAAATCGTTTTTCAATATTCTTTCCGATTTTATTGTTTTAAAATTTTTGTTCACAAATTTTTAACTTTGTAAATGTTGTAATAGTTTTTTTCAACGGTTATAACTTATTTTTACCAATAACTTTTGTTATCAAGTAAAAAAGTAATATTGAATCATAATTTAAAAAAAAATGCGAATCGTGAACTATAGACTAAAAATCGTTTTTATTTTTTCATTATGTATACCACCTGCAATGATAAATTTTAAAAAGTTTCACCTTGGTGAATTTAAAAAGGTTTATTATCAACGATTGGAAGAAAAAAATATTTTTTATGCAGAAAATAATATTTTTTCTTAACAAATTTTTTTCTGTTTTTTAAGTTGTAGATAAAGAAATATTGCAGAAAAATTGTATGTTTAGAATAAATTTGAACAGAATAATATTTTTTTATAAAAAAAATTTCTAATTAAAAAAATATATTTTTTTTTAAACCATCGAGTGGTTTTAATAATTTAAGATTTCAAGAAATTCAAAACATTCTTTGCCTGAATTCCTTCGTTTTTCTTTCTTATTAAAAAAATATTTTTTTCTTTTAAATCGTTAATTGTAACTTTAACTTCAACTTCATTAAACTTCACCAATGTAAAATCTGGATAAAATGAACCAAACATTTATTGATTAATTTATTTTAATTAAATTAATTTATAATAATTTATATATGTTATAAATAAAATTTGGTACAAAAGAAAATTAATGCAATTTGCAAGTTATTTTTTTTCCTTTAAAAAATTTTACGTTTTTTTTATTGGGAGTGTCATGAGCTTCTTAAAAGAAATCGTTTGCTCTCTAAATCTGAATTATAGTAGAAAACTACTAATTAACATTAAAACCGTGAACGAATCGGTCCTATTCGAAATAGTAAAAAAAAAGTCTACTTATTAGTAGAGAATTAATTCAAGAGTCACAATTAAACAATTATTTGTAAAAAAAATTATTAAAATAATCGCTAGACATAAAAATAGTGAATTTATATTCACTTTATTTTTAGTCACTTAACATAAACTAAAAATTAGATAAACTAATCAATTAGTTATTTTTGCGACTAAAAATTAATCAGTAGTTATACTAATTAATGAATTAAACGAATTGGTGCTGTTGAATTAGTCAAAAGTTGCAATAATTCAAAATTAGAGAGTAATTTTGTTATATATTTTGTTGACTAATTAACTAAAAAAATAAATAAGTAGACTTAAGTTTATATTTTAATTAATCATGAATGAATTAATTATTAATTCTGCTAAAATATTTTTAAAAATTACTAAAAAAAAATGTACGATAAATTGAAAATAATCCAACTGTACACGAATCGTGCTTTTAATAATAATAATGAATTTTATGTGAAAAAAACAATTTTTATTGTTTTTCTCTGCATTCGTGGGGTATAAAAGTTAGGAAACGCGGAAAAATTCTACAGTAGCCGAATATCAAAGAGTATAGAAGAATACAATAATAGAAGATTTTGAAAACCTCACAACTTCAATAAAAGTAATCCAATTTAAATCATCAATTCAGCAAATACATTGAAAATGACAACAATGTTAAAACTTTTCCTTCTGTCATTTATTGTAACATTTTCATTATTAATTATTGAAAGTAATGCTGAATGTTGTTACAAACGAAAAAAAGTGTGCGAAGATGGCCGTACAACTTTCTCATACTATTGTGGTGTAGGACCGTGTAATGTATTAGGATGCAACTGTGAAGGTGGTTGTAAGAAAAAAGAAGCGCCATATGCTTTTAGAAGAGCTTCAAGAAACAATTATTATAATTAATATCCATTGTTAATTAACAAATTTTATTTCTGAATAAAGAGAATTGATACTTAAAAGATGCTTTCATTAATATTTTATATTTCATATCATATTCCTTCTCCTCATTTCTTCACAGTTTTTTAATATTTATTTTAATTAACTTTTATTAATAAAGAAAAAAAAAATATTTTATAAAATATGTATGCTGAAATGAAAAATAATTGCTTTTAACATTTATTCACGTTGGGGCACAATATTTTTTAGTAAAATATACAAATATTATACCGCAATGTTATATTATTATCGAAATCGAAATTGTGAATTTTTACTACTTTAAATTAGTTGTTAATTAATTAAAAAATTAATCTTAAAAATTTTAATAAAATTCTTAGAAACAATGCAAATAATTTAAAACATTTTGAGAAAATATTTTGTATGAATTCCATTATTTTTTAAATAAAATTCATCGCTGAAATTCAATTATTTCAATATATTAATTATATATAATTAATTAACAATATTTTAACAACTTTTAAATTCAAAAGTAATTTTAACAAAATTTCTTAAAACAATAAAATTAATTTATTTATTTATTCAGTATATAAAGGGGCATTACATAAGTGCCTTTTTGTACAATGTACTAACTAACGAAAATATTTGTAAACTAAAGTTTTAAAACAATAAAATCGGTTAAATATTTTAAAAACCGATTATTTAAAATTCTATATTAAGAAAAATTCGATACTTTTTTTTTTAATTCTGGAAATAACTTTAATTCTAAATTTTTTTGGAATTCAATTATTACTCCAAATTTTTAGTTAGAATTAATAAAAAATACGATTATATTTAGAAATTGTTTTGAAAGGAAGACAATAAAATTCTTTAAAAGAATTATAATATAAAATTCTTCGCAATCATTAAATTATTTAAAATATTTTAATAATATTGTTCGAAAGAATTTATTTGGAATATACAATTTTCAATAAATTATTTGAAATAATTTAATTAGTATAGGTATTGAAAAAATTTAACAAAACTCTTCAAAAAAAAATATTTTTAAAAATTTCAATAAAATTCTTAGCATAAGTATTTAATTATTATCACAGATATTAAAATTATTTACAAGAATATTTAACTACTTAAAAAAATTATAATAAAATTCATTGAAAAAAATTCAGTATTATAAATAAAAAAAAAATACTTCCCAGAGTTTCAATTGTTTTAAAAATATAATTTTTAATCAATTCTTCGAAAAATAGGAATAAAAAAATAATTTTTTAAATGCAATTTTTTTATAAAAAAAATTTATATAGTTCAGTGCAATAATTTCGTATTTTAAAAAATGAAGAACAAATTCAATTTCAAAATTCGTTTTGGCAAAAGATTGAAGAATTTAATATTTTTAGTATTTTAAAATTTAAATAAATGAAAAAAAAAAAATAAATAAATAAATGAAAAAAAAAAAAAATAAATAAATAAATGAAAAAAAATAAATGAAAATTACCATTTTTTCATTGAGAAACGTTTATTTAACGGGACAGTAAACCCTAGATAAAATTTTTGAATGCCATTATTTTTGGAATATTTTTGGAATTACTACTGTTATTATTATTATTATTATTATTATTATTATTATTATTATTATTATTATTATTATTTTCAAAAAATAAAAAAATTCTTCGCTAAAATTCAATTACTTTCAATATCAGCCAATTTAATACAATTTCTAAAAAAAAATTCAATTATTTTAAAAAAATTTGAATAAAATTCTTCGTCAGAATTAGAATATTTTCACAAATAACAAATTTTTTTCACAGAAATTCAATTATTTAAAAAAATTGTAATAAAATTCGTTGCATGAATTCAATTATTTTCATAAATTTAAAAATTCTTCGCAGGATTTAAATTGTTTTTAAATACACTTTTAATGGAATTCCTTGAAAAATTTTATTATTATTAAAAATTTGATTAAAGTTCTTTGAAGAAAATCAATTCATTTCAAAAGTTTTGATAAAATTCTTTATAAGAATTAAATTTTAAGAAATAATCAATTATTCAAAAAAATTTTATTTTTATATTCAAATAATGGAATTCTCGTAGATAAATAATTCTAAAAAGAATTGAATTAAAAATAAATTCAATCATATTTTAGATAATGTTTTAGTTAATAATTTAGATAATAATTGAATACGAAAAGCCTTATAGTATAAATTACTAATAATTAGATTTTAAAAGATTTCTAAATTTCTGTGGAATAAGAATAGGAATAAGAAATTATGAAAAAAATTAATCTGTTAAAATATTTGGAATAAAAATTTTTTGAAGATAGTTAAATTCACATAAAAATGAAAAAAAATTAATTCAATTTAGAATTATGTGGAAATTTTGTCAAATTTAATTTAAATTAATTATATATTTTAATTTTTTCCTTTCAAAACTATTTTTAAATATAATCTTATTTTTTTATTAATTTTAACTAAAAATTTGGGACATAATTGAATTCTAGAAAAATTTGGAATTATTCTTTCCGATATTATTGTTTTAAAACTTTAGTTTAAAAATCTTTAACTGTTTGCAATAATTTTTTGCTTTTGTTGTAAATTATTTTTGCCAACAGATTTTGTTATCAAGGAAAGAAGTAATATTGAATTGTATAAAAAAATGCGATTCGTGAACTACAGACTAAAAATTTTTTCTCTATTGCATATTTTTATTATGTATTACCACCTGCAATGATAAATTTCAAAAAGTTTCACCTTGGTGAAGGTGAAAACGTCCATTATCAACGATTGGAAGAAAAATATACATTTTATGCAGAAAATAATATTTTTTCTTAACAAATTTTTCTGTTTTTTTAAATTGTAGATAAAGAAATATTGCAAAAAAATTTGTACTGAAAAATATTTGTTAAAAAAATATGTTTTTTCTTTTAAATTGTTAATTGTAACTTTAACTTCAATTTCATTTAATTTCACTGAACTTTACAAACGTAAACTTTGGACAAAATTAATCGACCATTTTATTGATTCATTTATTTTAATTTAACTAATTTATAATAATAAATTTGATTATTTATCAGAGCAATAATTTTCCTCTTTTTGATGAATAATAAGAGTAAACATCAGACTCTCAGCTTTATTTTAATGTGCATTAAAATTTTGTTTTACTTTTAATACTTTAGAAGAATATTAATTA